TTCGACTCGACCCGATTAACTTAGCATTATCACGGAATATACATGCAAATGTTCGCGACGCTATCACGCGCGTGTGGAAGTCAAAACTAATATGCTGCTAATCACAAGACGTCTTCTGTCGTCTTGTCGCGAAAAAGTACCGCGGAGAAGTTGCCTCGTCAGAAATTACATCGTAATCGACGCGACGTAATCCGGATAAAACGTTCCGCAAGGAACGCATCACGCGACGTTCTCGTTTTATTAAAACAGAGAAGAACGATAAGAAAAAAGAGAGAGAGAATCACATCCGATCGCTCGGTATCTGGCGAATATGCCGGAATCGCAGTCACGAGCACCGCCAGTGCTCGTGCACGTGCTCCCGCGTTTTCGATTACGCGGCAATTTGTTTGTTACCGTCCCTCGTCGAGAAATTTATAAGTTTTACGGTTTCTCTTGTTATTTTTATCGACGTTTTCATCCGTCGGCTTAATTGTTGTAACTAACATTATCATTGTCATTACATATATACCACTATAATCATTGTCTCGTTATGTTATAATTCTTATTATCGTTACGCATTACGCATATTGCTGTTCTTTTATAGTCGTGCTAATTGCTCCTAAAGTTACTCGCAAAGCCGCTATCTTCTCAAATTTGAACGTGTCAACTTCGCGATTGCAAGTAAAAACTTCACGTAAGTGTCTCTAAATTGAAGTCTCCTATCGTATCGAAAATGACAACGATTATCCTTTGGAGAATCACCCCAAAAAAAGTAATTGCAGAACAAGAGGAATCATCTAAATTTTAGAGGATTTTATTCTTATATATGATTTCAAGAGGATTTCTCTGAGATTAAAAGAAAAATATAATAAACACATTATTCTTAAAATTAGAGGGATTACATGTTATATGTATAATGCAAATCTTATTGATTTTAATATAAATTTCCTCTTATACACAAATTATTTAATCTTTTTTTAAGAGGATTATTATTTATTTTTACTGTACTTTATTCTTACTGGTTATACTAAATATTTTGAAAAAATTATTGTAATGTACAGCGAAAAGTAATATATATACAGGGTGATCCGAAATTCCCGCATTCGGAGTACAGGACATGATACTTTATGTTGAAATAAACAACTTTTTCTTTTAGTAAAATTGCGCCCGACAAGTAGTTTTTATAGAAGAATGTGTTAAAGTTAACGAATAAGTGCTCTTGCCTATGTGGCGCTCAGGGCCGGCGCGCGCCCCTCACTCGCGTGTACCTAATCAGTGATTAATTAGTAAGATTCATAAGTAATGCCTTTTAAGGCGCTCATACGGCTCTGTTGTGATTAGTTTACGACATCTTAAAACTGTATTTAAGACAATCTTAAATAATAAGAATCAACTATGAACAATAGCGGGATTTGACTTTCTTCCATATTGTATTGCTTAAATAATGAAAAGTTAATAAAATAAGTACTGCCTTTATTTCTTACGTAATAAATGAATAAAAAATTGTCTGAGTCTACAATATCATCTGAAAATAAAAACAAATGTAAATAGTAATATGCTTTGCGAATTGTGAAATCCCGGTATTGTTTATAGTTGATTCTTATTATTTAAAATTGTCTTAAGTACAATCTTAAGATGTCGTCAACTAATCACAACAGAGCCGTATAAGCGTCTTCAAAGATATTAATACTTATGAATACTAGAATACTTACTGACTAGATATACGCGAGTGAGGTGCGTGAGCCGGCTCTGAGCGCGCTACATAAATAAGAGCACTTATTCGTTAACTTTAACACGTTCTTCTGCAAAAACTACTTGTCGGACGCAATTTTGCTGAAGGAAAAAGTTGTTTGTTTTAGCATAAAATATCATGTCCTGTACTCCGAATGCGGGAATTTCGGATCACCCTGTATATATATATAGATGTCCTTCTGGCTCCAGTTCTACAATGGGTAGGTACAAATGAAATAAGATAATCATAACAAATAAATTTCCAATCATAGTTTTGTTATGGACTTCATAGCTACAAAGATGTTCATCATAACCAATTGTATGATACATAGTTAAAGGAAAGAATATATTATTCAACTTCTTGCAATAGATTATAAACTGTATTTGACTAAATGTAGATAAATTGATATTTATGCATAAAAGGAGCCTTCTCCCCGATTTAATTTATTTTTAAATATGTTGTTGGGGGAGTCTTTCTGAGTCGTTTCATATATATATATATATACAGGGTGATTCAAAACAACCTTCCATTATTAAAAGTATAAAATCCTGATAAAATTCTAAAACAACTTTTCCTCTTGCAAAATTTTGGCAAAAGCTTAGATTTTAAATTATTAACAAAAATAGTAGACCTATTGCGGGTCGGGTACGGGAGGTAGACAGGTGCGGCGCAACTCACCGTCAGACGTGGGCGCTAACGCGGAGGAATCCCCGCAGCAATCAGCTGATCACACTACACATGTTATACACTAGCTACGTTCCAATATTCATTGCCAGCATAAAAATCTGTATTTTCTGTGACGTTAGGTGATTGTTATAACTGGCAAAAATTTTGGAAAACAGCCAGGATTGTACGCGCACACACATGTAAGCACGTTCTCGGTCTCTCCGAGTCTTTCTGTCTCTTTCTCACTCATTCACTCGTATTCATTGCACGACCAATGCGAAGCGGCAGTCGTGCGTGGTGGGGGATGGACCAATGGACATCCCGCGACGATCGTATAAACGCGTTGAAACAATCGATGCGTTAATCAATAATCCTGCGATTATTGGAAGCGTTAACGTCAAGACGATATGGCAGCATACACGAACGAAGAATATTATGACATGTTATTGACACTCGGAGCCTGTCACGGCCAGGTCGCCGCTGCTGCTCGAAGATACGCCGAGCTGTACCCCAACCGAGCAAGACATCCGTCGCACCACGTTACAGATACAAAATACAGATTTTTATGCTGGCAATGAATATTGGAACGTAGCTAGTGTATAACATGTGTAGTGTGATCAGCTGATTGCTGCGGGGATTGCTCCGCGTTAGCGCCCACGTCTGACGGTGAGTTGCGCCGCACCTGTCTACCTCCCGTACCCGACCCGCAATAGGTCTACTATTTTTGTTAATAATTTAAAATCTAAGCTTTTGCCAAAATTTTGCAAGAGGAAAAGTTGTTTCAGAATTTCATCAGGATTTTATACTTTTAATAATGGAAGGTTGTTTTGAATCACCCTGTATATATATAAGGGTCGGACGCAAATAGCTTCGGAAATATAAGCTGAGAAACGATGAAGGTAGTAAATATGAAAATTCATTTAAAGTAATAAATCACCGAAACATACACACACACCGAAGGGTCTCGTCTGGTCGAACTTGCGTCACGTGGAAAATCGCACTCATGTGACACAGAACAATACGACTTTCCATATGAAGCGAGTTTCATCCGTCAAGGGAGGGTACTGGTGGAGGGGTCTGTTTGTTTATGTTTTCAAAATGACTCTATTGGTTTGTTTATGTTTGAATTTCTTCATATATTTTCGACGAAGAACATTCAGCATTCACTTAGAGACCGTCTCATCGTACAGTTTTCGGAACGTGAAGAATAATGAAACTACACGAATTTCTATCCTTTTTCAACCTATATCTCCGAAGCTATTTGCGTCCGACCCTTATATATGTATATGAAACGACTCAGAAAGACTCCCTCAACAACATATTTATTGTAAAAATAAATTAAATCGGGGAGGACGTCCCTTTTATGCATAAATACCGATAAATTATCTTCGTTATATGTTACAGCAACACACATACCTTTTTTACAAAGCGTTCCAAATATCCTGACCCACGAACCTACGGTTATTTTTTCATTCATGTCTGGAGGTATAGCATGATTAAACAAAATAAGCGGACATTCAAATCAACATATTCCTCTTCATATAAGAGGAGAATTAATTGATACAAGAGGAAATCCTCTTGAAATAAGAGGGAAATAGAATCATATCTAATAAACTGGAAATGATTGGTTCACTTTAATCGCTTCATCGAAAGAGGAATCTTTTCCCTATAAAAAGCTTCGCTTAGAATATGAGACTATAGGAAAAATCACTTTACAAATAGAATATTTTTTTTTAGGTGATAAAATAACCGCGCGGGGTTAGTCCTCGTTGCTAATGCGCGTTTCCGCGAGCGGCATGTTGTCGATAATGACCTCAAACGCGAGACTTCGGGCGACCTCGTGCGCTCTTATCCAAGTTCTCATGACGTTCGATAATACGTATCGAGATGAAAAGTGATTTCAGATTTTTCGCACCATTTCGCACCACAAAGAGACGATTACGCGCTTGAGCGGAGAAAACCGCTTTATTAATTTTATTTTTTATCGCGTAACTTAATCATCGTGCTCTTTCTTTCTCTCGGATTATTTCATAACAATTCAACAGACCGATTTCCTCCGTGGCGCTTCCCTCCTTTATTACTACGGATTATTTCGACAAACGAATTATTTTCGACAATTTTGCGAATTACACAGCGGCTCGTGGGAGAGAAGGAGAGAAGTCTGCCTATTTTTAGAAGTCTGGTGTGTCCTATCATTTGAGTTACGAAATCAGCAATTTATCGTCGCGCGAGAGCCCAATGAACACTTGCGTGTGCACCGTCGTCAATACGATTGTTAATGGTTTGTTCTTTTTACGTAACGCACGCGTGCTCCTCGCCGTCATAATTCTTCGCACGACGCGCATATCAAGTTTTCACCAAAGCTCAAGATTGACAAAAATCGACAATTCAGGAAACAATTTAATTAGATAAGAAATTCTTTTGGAGACCGAAATTTGCATCGTGTATTAAAAAAGAGCAATTTATCAAATTACCATAAATTTATCAAACACACAACTGATACGGAAAACATTATAGAAATTCTGTAGAATTTAACTTGCAATTATAGCAAAGATAGTAATAATTACAAAAATCGTCCAGAGGCTCTATAATCATCAATTTTACCCCTTTTTCTTTTTTGCAGAAAATAACATCGGCGGTGTTCACACGCCAACTGACTGATGCGTCAACGGATCTCAAGAAGATTCTGTCCGACAAGATCCCGAGAGAGCAGGAACGTGTCAAAGCCTTCCGTAAGGATCATGGCTCCACGAAAGTCGGCGAAGTCACCGTAGACATGGTAAGCGTTCTATCATAGTGTCTCCTTCAAGATCAATAATAATCCAGAGTCCTTTTATTCCCAGCGCTACGCGATAAAGCAATTGAATTCACTATCCTTCCTCTGAATTCTGAATTGGTTTTATATTTTGATCGTTTTATTTTTGCAATTGTTTTATTTTGCTAAAAATACTGCGCGTCGCTCTTTTCAATTACAACTCTGTTTATTATCACGTACATTATAGACGTATTTTCATAGTTGTCACAGTTAACCACGTAGTGAACGCGAAATTTCATGAAGTCGGTAAGACTAGCAAATTCTCCCCAAGGGCAGTCGTTGACTAATAAAATGAGGAAAGACCTTTAGCTTACTGTGTTTTTGAGAGCTACTCTGACGATAAGGCCCAACAAACGGGCTGCAGAATGATTGCTGGACCGCGTGCCTATTATGTGATCGGCATGCATTTAACCGATATTTAGAAAAATAGAAATAGATCTTTTAAAAATTATTATTTGATATTTTAATATTCATTTAAAATGTTTTAAAAATTAGTTTTGATCTTAAAAATATATTAATGATCTTTTAAAAATATTATAAGTGACCTTTAAAAAAACATGTTTGATCTTTATAAAAAAAGTAATTGATCTTTATAATATTAAATTTGCCATTTATAATTGTGATCTTTAAAAAATGAAATTTGATCATTATAAAATATACGGATTCGGGGTATAACGTGCTGCTATTTCATATAAATTTTTTAAATTAGAGAATCAGTGCTTCATTTTGAGGTTTACAATGTTGGCGGATAGGCGTATTCGTGCGTTTTCATAACCAACGAATGTAATTTAATGAAAACTAATCCATACTTATCTTTATCGTGAGTTCAATACTAGCGAAATATATTTATCGTAGTAAAAAAAAGGTAAGTTTTATTCTTGGATGTATGTTTATTAATATAAAATTAATAATAAATTAACCTTTAGTTTACCATGGTTATTAATGATCACCTACAATTTAAAAAATATCACTTTTAATATATAAATTTCATTTTTTATTCTAAAACATCAACTATTATTTATAAAGATCATTAATTATTTTATTAATTATCATCACTGTTTTTTAAATATCTTATAAATATATAAGTAAATATTTATTATATAAAAATATCAAATTTCATTTATAATGTTCAAAATAGTAAGTAAAAGATCATTCGATAAATTTAAAGATCATTCATGAATTTTAAATTTCAAACCAATTTTTTTAATAGTAGCGATGTGTAGCGATCAAAAATATTTTTTAAAAATCAGTTAATTTTTCCCCCTATGTGATCGCGATAACCACGCGATGTGACAGTTCCTATCGGGACACACGAGTTTTTTGTATCCAAAAATGGCGTATTTTTATACCTCAATTATCAGCTGCATATGTTGATTACTCGATTAATCGTCATCCAGCGAGTCGTCTCGCGTATGATAATCTTATCCACGTAAAGCTCTTGCTCGTTGCTCCACCAATACTGCGCAGTTGATGATCGCCGATCTAATCGTAGTTCACCAACACTAACAACATTGTAATTTATGTCCCTGTCTGCAAAAAATACGCAAACTAGATACTCAGTTATTATATGTGATATTCATACCAATACTAATAATCGAACAATATCCTAAGATAAACTCATTGAGAAATTTGGACTCGCTGACAAGCGAGTATCTGTTGCTCGTTGAAGAGGTTGAATTCGAGAAAATCGACTATTGTTGAGCGAGAGAAAATTAATTCGAGCAAGCGTTTTTCGGCGTTCAACCATCTCAACACGCTTCAATTTTCGCAGATGTACGGCGGCATGCGCGGAATCAAAGGCCTCGTGTGGGAACCCTCGGTGCTCGACCCGGAGGAGGGTATCCGTTTCCGCGGCAAGTCCATCCCCGAGTGCCAGAAGCTGCTGCCGAAGGCGCCTGGCGGCGCGGAGCCGCTGCCGGAGGGTCTCTTCTGGCTGCTGATCACCGGCGACGTGCCGACCGACGCACAGGTGAAGGCCATCTCGCAGGAGTGGGCGTCCAGGAGCTCGCTACCCGAGCACGTGGTGAAGGCGCTCAACAACTTCCCCAAGAGCCTGCACCCGATGACGCAATTCTCCGCTGCGATCACCCTGCTGAACAGCGACAGCGAGTTCGTGCGAGCGTACAGCAAGGGCGTGCACAAGAGCAAGTACTGGGAGAGCGTGTACGATGACTCGATGAACCTGATCGCCAAGCTGCCGGTGGTCGCGGCCACCATCTACCGCAACATCTACAAGGGCGGTAAAGGCTTGGGCTCGGTCGACGCCGGCAAGGACTGGTCTTGGAATTTCGCCAACATGCTCGGTTACGACAAACCGCAGTTCATCGAGCTGATGCGCCTGTACCTCACCATACATTCAGACCACGAGGGCGGCAACGTGTCTGCGCACACTACCCATTTGGTGGGATCCGCCCTGTCGGATCCTTACCTATCCTTCGCCGCTGGTATGAACGGCTTGGCCGGACCTCTGCACGGCTTGGCGAATCAGGAAGTGTTGGTCTGGCTGGAGAAACTGCGCAGCCAGGTGGGCGACAGCCCTAGCGACGAGAAGCTCAAGGAGTTTATCTGGAACACGCTGAAGAGCGGTCAGGTGGTGCCCGGTTACGGACACGCCGTCCTCAGGAAGACCGACCCCAGGTACACGTGTCAGAGGGAGTTCGCGCTCAAGCACCTGCCGGACGATCCGTTGTTCAAGGTGAGTCGCGTTTCTGAGATCGTTTCGAGCGAGCAAAAAGCGAAAGTAAATTAAGATAAGTTGATTGTAATCCTCTGGTCTAATATTGACACTTGATAATATCCGCACTTGATCGAAACCTGATTCTTAACCAATGCCACTTCACTCTCTCGCAGTTGGTAGCGCAAGTGTACAAGGTAGTACCGCCTGTACTTCTGGAGACCGGCAAGGTGAAGAACCCGTGGCCGAACGTGGACGCGCACTCGGGCGTGTTACTGCAGTACTACGGCATGAAGGAGATGAACTACTACACGGTCCTGTTCGGAGTATCCCGCGCGTTAGGTGTGCTCGCTTCTCTGGTGTGGGACCGCGCCCTAGGATTGCCCATCGAGAGGCCCAAGTCTCTCAGCACCGATCTCCTCATGAAGGCCGTCAAGGCATAAGCTTGTCCGGCAATCAACGGCGATATCAGCGTTATCACTTCTCCACGTCTCATCGTATCTCGGCCCTCGATCTCCAGCGGAGCGTCGATAACGACGTCGAGCTCGAACTTTATGACGCGACGGGCGCGACCTTCGAGACCTTTAAGATTTTGATACTTCGACCTCGACGGAGTCTCATCTCAACGAGTGCGCCTTACCGAGCGAACGAGCGTACGAAAGAGCGAGAGAGAAAAAGGAAAAAGAGAAAGAGCGCGTGTACGGGCGAATAAATGAATAACTGTGCGAGTGAGTGAGATACAAGGCTAGGTCAACATCGACAAATCAACACGACAAATAATTATATCATAACGACGTATTATCTAAACGTATCATTAAGAGCAGATACGCCAACGCTTCGCGTCCGGTCATATGCGCGCATACGTTTTCCGTAAACGTAACATTAATTTCGCACTGGTCTTACAGACCTATATAATGTCTTACATTGCTGGTACTCTCTGGACGGTGCCTCAACCAGTCGATCGAGTACAGTTCCCGCGACATAGTTATTTATCCGAACAGAAACGTAGATTTCGTTCGATTAGTTGAAACTGCCAGATCTCTGCGAGCGGAATCCGAAGATCCAAAAGAGAGTTTCAGGAATCCCTCGACCGCCTGGGAAACTTCTTTTGGGATTCCGCGCTATTTAGAAGTATGATTAAGTACATAATTATACGGGATAGAGAATTGTACCAGGAATAGGATAATATATATCGTATAAGACGCTACTGTAAATACAATTATCGCTCAATATTCAGCAACACATTGACTGTCACGTTGATCGCTACGATATTTACGTCAATGGTCGGTGTGTTTATTAGCGGTAATGCCAGCAACATAAAGCCAGTGAGAAATAACAAAGGTGCATGAAAATATGACTCGTGGAGTCGCGTAGAACACAGAATGTCGCAGACATCATCGAGATGTCCTAACGATGACAGTTCGGATAATGCCTTTAGGAACTTGGAACTACCTGAAACTGTATTTGAATAGCATGAATTGAGCAAATTTAATATCATTATTATCGCCTCGTTACTTGAAAAATCGCACTGCCCGAAGGTGTTATCATATATTCTACTTCGTCTTTACTTACTTTTATTTTTTAATCAAAACTCCTGTGTTTGAATTTTAGGGCAAAAATACGAGGTATTCCAAGGAGTCTGTAAGAATAAACAATAAATTTCAAGGCAATAGAGTTAGCGCATCGCACATTGCTAATGCGCGGTGTTACTAGTGCTAATATAGATTTCCCTATCAACAACTTAACATCTTCCTCAGGAAGTCCATTGCAAGTAATTGCACTTAGGAAAAAAATGCAGAATGCGAGATGAAGTAGAGAATTACTTAAGAATAATGAAGCGAAAAGGAGAGCACGTTCTATCAGCTAAACATGTCTTTTTTATTCCAATTTTCCAATTTTATCAGGCACCAAAATATTATATATTGTTATATTTTTTAATATAAGCATTATAAAATGTAATAATATATATTATACAATCACACACCGTCGCAAATCGTCACTGCTCGCGTAAAATGAAACATCATGGACATTAATGAATTTGTCACGAGAATGAATGCGTGTGTGAGTATTTTATTTATAATGAACGTGAAAATAAATGGACATTACGATACAATTGACTACGGATAACTATAGTTGTAAAATTTCTTCCTTATGTAGCGTATGAGGTTGCTTTAAAAGTTGCACCTATTAGAACATCAAGCATAAATTCAACTAATGAATCGTTTGACGTGTGTTAAAAGAACTAATTCGAAAAATATGTAATTTCTTTGTACATCGGAAATTCCGACTACAAAGTGCATTAAGCATTCTTGAAAAATAAAATTTAATATTGGGTGTACAAATTAGTTCGGTCCGTTTTCAAAAGATGGCTTCGGCTGTTATGAATGGTTCATAGTGACTGCCGATTTTGGCGGTTTCAGAGAGGTTAGACAATAATATTCAGTTTATATCGCTTTGAGTTTCATACAAAAACCTTGCTTTTTACAGTGTTGAAAATGTCGAATTTTGTGTTAGCACCAAGCAGCATTTGCGGGAGGTTTTAATTTTCTGCTTTAATTGGAAGAAAAGTGCAGCTGAAGCCCATCGAATGCTTGTTGAAGTTTATGGTGACGCTGCTCCAACTGATAAATCATGTAGGGAATGGTTTCGACGTTTCAAGGATAGAGACTTCAGCGTCGAAGACAAGCCTCGCTCTGGACAGCCAAAAAAATTCGAGGACAAAGAATTAGAGGCATTACTCGAAGAAGATCAGAGTCAAACGCAAGAGGAGCTTGCAGAATCATTAGGAGTGACTCAACAAGCCGTTTCTGTATGATTGAGAGACATGGGAATTATTCAAAAACAAGGAAATTGGGTGCCTTATGAACTGAAACCGAGAAACGTTGAAAAGCGTTCTTCATGACAACGCTCGACACTCATGTCGCAAAAGTCGTAAAAAAATATTTGGAAACGCTCAAATGAGATGTTTTACCGCACCCGCCGTATTCTCCGGACATTGCTCCTTCTGATTACTGGTTGTTCCGAAGGATGTAGCACGATTTGGCAGGTCACCGGTTCACTTCTTTCGCAGATATCGAAAATTGACTCTAAACTTGGATCGTCTCAAAAGACGAGTCATTTTTTCGAGATGGAATTCGAAAATTGCCTGAGAAATGGGAGAAAGTAGTAGCCAGCGATGGAAAATACTTTAATTGATCTGTTCATTCATTTTGTTTTGAAATAAATATATCTTTTAACACAAAAAAACGGAGCGAACTAATTTGTACTCCCAATACAATTTTAAAAATAATCCACAATGTACTATAAATTTTAATATCGAATGATCTCTATGCAGTATAAACACGCTTAGCTGAATTCGAAGACTACAAACTGTTATTGTGATATTCTTTGTAGAAATGCAAATTATTAGAAAGTAGAAGAGAAAAAAAAAATGGGGAATATATGACGGGGAAGATACAACAGACTCGTGTGCTTCATATCGATAGAAACTCTTTTAATTTATTTGACATCGCATACTTTTGAGTCTCCGTTATTATTTTTAATAAAGTTGTACAGGAGAGGATTCCTCTGACTTATACATTATAGATAAAGATCGATGAATCGGAAATGAGTTTCTTTATTAATTAACCGTAATCGCCCTTTCGGCAGATCGAGCCGTTTGAAGAGTTCGTAAACAAGCACGATCATTTGATTCGTGCATTCCCGCATTTTGTTAACGTCGACGTTAAAACAACCTATGCGTTGTACTTTACATTCCAGAAATTTTTTACACAATTGCGTTAAATAAGGGGAACATGGGAATGGCAGGGCGGGGGAAGATAGGGGGACATATCCGAGGATAAAAATTCGATATATCCCGCGTAGAATTTCAATGAATCGAACAATATACACGACACATTCTTACGTTAACATTTAAGAAAGCGTTTCTCAATATGAGAAAGCTAGCGTGTCAACTCTTTTATCTAATTTTTTATCTCACTCTGGCATTATAGACGGCATTTGTCCCTCGCGCGCGCGGTGATGTTCAACAACTTCTATACAATAAATCTCGCGTATACCCGTTAATCGGTCGTCAGCGCTGATAATTCCTTCACATCTTTTTTCCTTTTTCTCTCTGAAACTACTAGTAATTAATATTACTTACTGCGGAATATTTCACGCTACAAAAAAGTTAAACGTTACATTCACGATAACTTAAATAAAGACACTTAAGACGAAAACGAGAGACAGCTGTAGATTGAGGAGAGACATTCCGATGTTACGTCAGAACTCGCGTACCTTCATTCGTTCACTTTCGTTGCAGTAATCGTGAGCAAATCCAGGAACAAATTTCCAAAAAATTCGCGTTTGGCTAATAGATTTTATGATCGCACAAGTATCTACTGTGTGTGATTATAAGAATTAAAATATAATTATATTAAATATTAATTAGATTTATCTCAATATATGACCTAATCACTTTGGACTTTTGGACACTCGAAGAAGAATATAATAATGGAATGCCACGAGATGAACAAGCGTGAATTCGCGAGCGTGTTGTTAATTCAAAGTCCCCGTTCGCATCTATCACGACACCACGCGCAGTACATAACACTCGATGCTACATCATCTCCGTCGGATCTTGTCAGCCGCCTTTTGCTCTACCGATCTTGTCCTTTTAATCGCACGTCGCACATCAGTTATGTACCGCGCGAGCCTTTAGCTGCAAATTACCTCAAAATTGAATTCACATATCACAGAGCAGTTTGTATTCTGCCTTGAAAGTTCCTCCAGGTTGTATCAGTCGGTCGACTGGGTTCAGTTTGCTGTGAATCTACTCATGGAAGGGGCCGGGGTGGGAGTCCTTTTACGTACGGAAACGTGTCGCAGACCAGTCGGTGAAATCTCGGTACTCTCTAATCGCGTTTCCTTCTCTTTTACAGAACTCACTCTCTTAATGCGAAGTATAAAAAACTATGTACACAGGTGCACTGCTTGTTGTTGCTCTGTTGTTGCGCAACAGTTCCGTCCTCACTTGTCCACTCTCACATCAAATGAGTACAAATAGTTTCGCCGCCGTCTTCCTTTCCATTTCCACTGCCTGTTTATGCTGCGGAGCGCAGGTGGACGGGTTATAGAAAACTTTTCTCGGGTACTGTTATTGCGTAAGCAATCGATACCGTTCTCTTTAGGAAAGCTAACAAATCATGAATTAATAACTACCTTCCGGAACTCGTGAGCAATTAATCATGGCAGCTCAAACAAACGTGTTTTGTACATTTGTTACGCGCGACAAAATAATTATTTCCTTAACACACGCGCGTCTACAGTATCTAATGACGTGTCTTTTCAACGTATCTTTCTGCTATATCTCCGTTCTCTTCTGTGATTACTCCGTTAATTCACACGGTACAAATAATGCCGCCGGACGTTCTCCATTTCCGTAGTGCGAAGAAATCGCGGTTCGCTGTTCATCTCGTCGCGTAATTAGCAGCCGAAGAACGATTTCGCCCGTCCACCGTCCGTGATGATTTTACAACGCAACCGGATGTGCACTTTGAGGGTCATAGAGGAGATCGAAATAATGACTAACGAAATGTCGTGACAGCGCTTACGCCGTCTTCATCCTTACATCACTTCGCATAACCGTCAAAGTGGCTCGAGCTAATTTATCTTCAATAATATACTTTACATTTTAGATATTTCGTTAGACTCTCTTATGAACGATTCTCAATCTAATGTACGTCATGTCTTTTTCAAGCGCCCGACAATCCACTCTAGTCCTTGGTATAGCCTGAAATATACGAGTTCCGTTTATCCCTCTAGTTCACAAATATGTTTGTGATTACTACATTACTTTGTTATTCTTACCCTTCTCCAGTAAGGGCACAACAGCTTTGTATGTGCCATTGGTGCTTCTTGATAGATGTTAAATCCAACTGTCTGGAAATCTCTGCCGCAGTCATGCTGCCTTTCAAGTCCTGCTTGTTGGCATAAACCAAAACGTTGGCCTTGCTTAACTCCTCGTGGTTTAACATAGAATATAGTTCCTCTCTGATTACACCGAGTCTCTCTCGATCGGTACTGTCTATGACCATAATAATAAACTCTGTATTCGTATAGTAAGTAGACCAGGCAGCTCTCAGACTTTGCTGACCACCCAGATCCCACATTATAAAGTGAATGTTCTTCCACACCACTTCCTCCACATTTGAACCAATGGTTGGAGAAGTATGGACCACCTCGTTCATTAGGAACTGGTACAATATCGTAGTTTTTCCTGCATTGTCCAGACCAACCATAACTATTTTGTGCTCTGAAAATAATTAAATATTTTTATTATAATAAATAGCTATACTATATTTATAATTATTCATTATAGATATTTGTATATTAATAATCACAAATATTTACTTTTCACTTATTGTTGTAAAACTTTATTCGCAAAAAGACCATTAAACATTAATATATACAACTTATAACATTATCTTGACAAATCTTTATAAAAGATAAATGGATCTTTCCTTAAAATGTTTTACAATAAATGTTATAATAAAATTATAACATTTATTAAAGTAATATATAAGAATTGAAGAAATCATAATTATCCTAGCTTACCAGATTTTCAAACGAAGTGAAAGTACAATAAACATACATTGCGGGATCTCATGGGGTCAAAAGACAGCATATGTTAATAGAGTAGAAAGTAGGCCAATCTACATTTACGTATAATTTCTGAGACACGTACTTATCGTCCAATTACCAACCTACACAATTTTGTGAGACTGACTTAAAGGCCGTTTAAAATAACACTTGAATAAACTTCGAGACATTTTATCGAGGATCCGTGCGATCGGAATATTTTTAGAACGTGTAGTGAGTTTAACATCGGTTTAATGTTACAAGGCAATATTTCATCCGCTCGGTTGCCTTAATTAAATTGCCACATCGGGGATCCCGAGTGATTGACGTTTATGGGCCCTTTGTGGTGATTCCCTCGCACGTGTTGTCACACGCATACTTTCGCACGTCGCGTAAAAAATGCGAGAAAGAGCGAGCGAGCGAGCGAGTGAGATCCAGCGAAGAAAAGATGATTTCGCAAGAATTACCTTCGTTACCGAAGAAACTCCACAGCTTCGCGAACAGCAGCCCCATGTTGTCTTCAGTATAAGCTCAGCCGAATATCCATTCAATGTCACCTGTCCGTCGTTTCACTCGCGATTAGCAGAATATCTCGAAAACAGGGCGGTTCATTGTCTCAGGGTTATGTTCACTCTTTCAGTTGCAGATCGTCGGGATAAACGCAACGCCGACACGCGAGTCGTCCTCATGGTTGCGCTAGGACACAAACAGATGCCGAATCGTCATTGCACGGTCATCCCGTTACGCAGTCAGCGGAGAAATATCACGAGAATACAGACACCTTCCGCCTAACTCGATAAAGCGAAGCGCGACATGTTGCATGCACAATTGACGAACATTCGTACGCCCCGAGCGCGGCGCTTCGTATCGCACTATCGACATTTCGGACTTTCTCCGCTAGCGGCGCCCCCGCCGAGGTAAGATTCGACACACGTTACCGTCCGAATCACAAAAGGAATGACTATTGACCGAAGGAATCAATAATGATTTGAAGATTGGACCGGCAGAAAAACACGGTTATTTAACCGGCTTGATATTTCAACGGAATTGACCAATTCCGTCTGTCGTTAATCAACATTGACAAATGCAATTGGTCAATTCCGATGGAATAACCAGCCAGTTAAATTAACCACAGTTGGTAAAAACGGGCATAAACTCCGCAAGACCGACGGTCTGTATTATTAGGTGCGTTCTTTTTCTTTATTAGGTGTGTTCTTTTTCGAAGAACTTCGGAACTGGTGCCCCAGGCAAAACAGAAAATTATGATGACATCCAAATGACGTTAAAATGATGAGGAAAACTTATTTTTTCGTCATTTTGATGGCATTGTGATTTTCTGTTCTGCCTGGGGCAATAAATTGAAAAAAAAAATAAACATTTTCACTCATTCTAATTATTAATGTATACTAGTTCAAAAGTTCATTGAAAAAGAACCATCCATTATCTCGTTAGTGGCAATTGGCTTAAAAAAGAATCGAAGAGGTATTAATCCGTTATTTTAGCGAACCAATAAGGAGTTTATGGTATTTATTAGTCCTGTTATTTCAAGGGCTCGAATACACAAAAGATCTTAAGAAGTGAAACGTAAGTAGTTGAAAATGCTTTTAGGCGCATTATCAAAACTGCAGATTAGATAAGCGCACACAGTGGCATCGCACGTTGTGTCGCGCATACAATTGTATATTTTTACAATGAATTTTGTTCGTGGGGATGGCGCATTTTACCGCTGATTGGTTTGCAATTTGTGGGCTGAGGATGTGGCTACGAAGTCATCGGTTAAAGAATCATACGTAAACATATTTCGTTCTGTCGATACAGCCGCAGAAATGCCGATATCACGATTTGGAGAAGGAGAATATCGCGCATGCATTCCAACGTGAAGTACGTCAGGCATCATATGATCAAAATCAGTTGAAGCGTGTGTGTGCGCCTTTGGGCAAGAGCACAGACTTCTGCATAACGCATAATAATAAGAAAGTCAACCAATCAGAGTTCTTCATTTCTGTCCTGAGGAGTGAAATGAAGAAAACTAATTGGTTTATTCTCTTATGCGTTATGTATTATGCGTTATGCAAAAGCCTGTGCTCTTGCCCTTTACCTTCAGGTCATTCTACAATACGTGTCGTAAGCTGTAAGCCTACGACAATGTAAGAACTGATCAATTATAGCCGATTATTTTTGTAATAATCGACTGTGATTCGCCAATTCTTACGGCTTACAACTTACGACACGTATTGTAGAATGACCTTAAGTTCGTTTGTGTGCGATGGCCTTTATACGTCCTCTGACTAACTACTAAGCAGGAGAGTGCGACCACTTGTTGCTCTCGCGGATCGTAGCAATATATTTCCTGGATATATCACCGAATATATTTTATTTAGTTACATCTTAGGTCTGTTTTTTTATCGCTGAACTAGTGTACACTCAGGGAACATAAAAAGAAATAGATATATATCTAGGAGTTAGTGAAAGGGAGAGAAGAGAGTAAGTGCAAGTTAGTGCAGCCAGTTCAGCAATAGAAGACAAACCTCTTGTGTCCGATCGTATCCATTCACCATCCGCAAAAATGAGCACTCCGTAAGTACTTTTTATAGTTCGACGAAACATATCTTGTGATCGTTTCAGCTACATTTCGAAGTGAGTCATTCGTTCATAATTCAAGTTTCGAAATGATTAATAAGAGAAGTGACAAAGTGCAGAAAGTGTAGTTGAAACAGTTTTATATATGTGTAAAAATACGCTAAAATTGAACTTGTCACGGACGAACATTGAATTTTAACACACGCATATACTTATTATTAACTTATTCATAATTATTAATGCACAATATGAAAACCACCCGAAAAGTATTCTATAGAAATCTTCTTACTTTATTTCTATTTAAAAATATATCAAGTTGTTTTTTACTTTGAGTTTTTGTATATTGAAATATCTATTTCTACTTGAGTATGAGAGATAAGCAATGAGCAAAGAAAATGTACCTTCTCTCTCTTCTTTATCGACTTTCAATTAACGTATATTTTTTGCACATTTTAGGACAGCAGATATTGCCCTAATTGGTTTAGCAGTCATGGGACAAAATTTGATTTTAAATATGGATGACCATGGATTTGTTGTATGTGTATATAACCGTACGAAAGATAAGATCAAATCTTTTCTTGAGAATGAAGCCAGGGGCACAAAAGTTATTGGCGCAGATAGCTTGGAAGACATGGTCAGTAAACTGAAGAGTCCAAAGAGAATAATGTTATTAGTTAAAGGTAATCTTTTTATCATTGCAATAAAAAGTATATACAGAGTATTAAACATTGTGATAATGCAATTTGCTCTTATATATTGTAGCTGGTGATGCCGTAGATCAATTTATCAATTTATTGGTGCCTCTCCTCTCTCCTGGAGATATTATCATCGATGGTGGCAACTCAGCTTATCAAGATAGCGAGAGACGTGCCAGAGATCTTGAGAAGAAAGAGATTCTCTTTGTGGGCAGTGGAGTTAGTGGTGGAGAAGATGGTGCCAGATATGGACCATCTTTGATGCCTGGTGGTAATCCTAAAGCTTGGCCACATATTAAACCTATCTTCCAGGTAAGTTCTGGAGCAATGCTAGTCTATAATTATTTATAGTATTAAAGATTTACAAGACACAGTCTATATTATTGCTGTATTTTTCAGTCAATATGCGCAAAATCCAACGGAGAGCCTTGCTGTGATTGGGTCGGGGAATATGGTGCTGGACATTTTGTCAAGATGGTGCACAATGGGATCGAGTATGGTGACATGCAGATCATCTGCGAGGCGTATCACCTGATGAGAAATGGCCTACAACTTTCACAGGAACAGATGAGCGCTGTATTTGACTGTTGGAACAAGGGCGAGCTGGATTCTTTCCTGATCGAGATCACCAGGGATATATTGAAATATAAGGACGAGAAAGGCTACCTTCTAGAACGCATTAGGGACACAGCGGGCCAGAAGGGCACGGGCAAATGGACGGCTATCGCCGCATTAGACTATGGAATGCCCGTCACTCTAATTGGTGAGTCAGTGTTCTCCAGGTATCTGTCGACATTGAAAAGCGAACGCGAGATAGCGAGTACAATATTAGCCGGCCCGGACGAGATGTTCAAGGATGACAAGAAAATGTTCCTAAATCACTTAAGGAAGGCTCTGTACGCCGCAAAGATCATCTCGTATGCGCAGGGCTTTATGCTGCTGAGGGAAACTGCTAAGCTCTACAAGTGGAACTTGAATTACGGCGCGATAGCGCTGATGTGGCGAGGTGGATGTATCATAAGAAGGTAACGCAGTAGATGCGTAAATTTCATTTAATTTTCAATCTTATTCAGTCACGCCGATATCGTAATATCGTTCGTGCTTAGTGCGACCTACATTTCCTTTTAAAGCGAACGACAAAGAAATGAGTGTCAAGGCAATAGACTGTCTCAAGGATGTTTTGTATCTAAAGATTCATAAATAGTTATTTTTTTTTCTTGTTGAAAAGGCCGTTCGTTTTCATCGTGGAAATGTGACATTGCGAATTACACTTTATACGGAAACGATCGAAGTTGTATAAAGATAATCGAAGATAAACATTCGTTAGTAAGATTAGTTCTTTGCTGATTAACTCTATCGATGGTGACATGATGACATTTAGTATGAGTGACATTGTTACTAGAGCACCAAGGATTAGGATATAGAAACTTTGAGATGTCACGATATTATAGAAATAATTCTCGTTTATAGTGCGTTCCTGGGAAATATAAAAGCAGCATTCGACAAAAATCCAAAATTATCCAATCTATTATTGGACGACTTCTTCGCCAAGGCTATGAAGGAGTGCCATCAGAGCGCGAGGGTGGTGGTGTCGACGGCTGTGACACTGGGTATACCGACTCCCGCTCTATCAACGGCCCTAGCTTTCTACGACGGATACAGGACCGCTCGATTGCCAGCGAACTTGCTGCAAGCTCAGCGAGATTACTTCGGCGCACATACCTATGAGCTTCTCGGCCAAGAGGGGAAGTTTGTCCACACGAACTGGACCGGACATGGCGGTAACGTGTCGGCTTCCACATATGATGCATGAGTTCAACCTGTAACGATTTTCAATGTTGTTTTTATCATCGAAAACGTACAACAGATGCAGGAAAATGATATGAATTTGATTGGTCGATAGTTATATATACAGCTGCGATACAACCCTATATGTATCTTCTTATGTGCTGAAAGCTACGAAATATTACAAATTTATTTTTGTATCACGTCCCTCTTCACGCTCTCTTTCTCTCTCTCTCTTTCTCTCTCTTTCTCTCTCTTTCTCTCTCTTTCTCTCTCTCTCTCTCTCTCTCTCTCTCTCTCTCTCTCTCTCTCTCTCTCTCTCTCTCTCTCTCTCTCTCTCTCTCTACGAGTATATATTTGTAAACATTCCAAAGATCATGAATACCTATAGTAATATATATTGAAAATATATATTAATATATATATATATATATAGTAATATATATTGAAAATATATATTACTATATATTGAAAAGGTTTTGAGAAAGGAAACTCTATTTTTTAAGAATGTTAAATATTGATGAATGTACACGTGAGACAAGTTAATTTGTAAAAAGAAATAGATACCAAGCATGAACCAGCTAGTATTTTTCTCGAGAGAGTTCCTCGTGCAGAGTACTCTCGTATCATGAACCATAACGTCCGCCTTTACTTCCACACACGCGCTCTACACGCTACGTTCCATGTAGGTTGAGTGTATATTTTAGGAAACTCTGATTTGAGACTCTTTCGTGAGTAATATAAAGGCAGGAGGGGGAATTACGTAACGGCGAGACAGTTGCGTGGCGACTGCGAAATTCGTGTAGGCATGCGACCGAAACGATTTGCCGTTGAAGGATATGTTTGCGAATTGATTCGGTTTCTTTCGTACAAGCGTACGACATCGACGATCGAAACTGCAAGAATACATAATATTGGTGATGTCGAATTCACGCGGAAGTCAAATAAGGAGGTAGAAAGTCGCAGAAGAAAGCGAAAATATAAGCGGTCGAATTAATGAAATACTGTCGTCGCCGTCGCTGATTACGACGACGACGGACTCGTCGCATTACCGCATTTCTCTTTCTCCAGCGGACGCGAGGATATTGGAGCATGATACTTTCAATTGCGCACCCAAGTTTTGCACTTGCGAAAGTTTGCACAGACCGACTTGGCTTTTCCGCTGTGACTTTGCGATTTCGAAATGCACACGCCTGCCTTACGAACGTATTTGTTTTATTATTTTCGCCGCGCGCTCACACGAGTGCATAAATTCGTGAAGTTTTGACATTTCGATATACCTCGCGCGTGCGTGATGAATATTAAATCTATTCAGAATACTTCCGCGACATGTTTTTAAATAACGCCGGGCGGCCTTGAATTTTTTTTAATACAATTTATCACGAAAAGAAAATGGCGTGTCTCGATGTTAAAATAAACGTACGTATTCATCGCGCGTTACAATTAAATTTGGAAACTTCTGGGTGCATAAATTTATACATGATCCTTTTCGGATACTTTAATCATTTATTATTTACAGATAAGTATATGTATGATGATTATGTCAACAGAAAGTTGTTAAGAAAATATTTTAGTTTCACAACCAAGGTCGTAGCCTCTCTCTAATCGCAGTTTATTTTCTAAACGCTCTCGTAATTTTTCTCTCTCTTCTGTTCTATTCTAAGTTGCCCTAGTATATATTTATTATTTCATTTTGGACAGTGTAATGCTGTAAGAAATTAAGAAGAACAGATAACACACACACATACGTGAAGAGCGTGAAGGTAACAGGGAGAGAGACAGCAGGTATAACGTTACGGTCCTGGGAATCGTCAGCCGACCGGTGACTGTAGACGACGCGCCTTGCGGCAGTGCATTCATTTGCAAAATGGCTGATCACAGGGAACGGGATTCGTATTATTCGCAAACAGATCTACGCTCGAAGAACGACGACCCGCCGAACTCGCGACTTTTCGTCATCTGTCACAAAAGTCTGGAGGAGGATGACCTGAGAAAGGCCTTCGAAAAATTCGGCAAGATCGAAGACATCTGGGTTGTTAAGGACCGTAACACGGGCGAGAATAAAGGTGATACGCCTTCGCACGGATTGTTCCAATTGATAAGCCCGCTCGTTAACGTCCTGTCACGCGTTTTTATCCGCGTCCGAGAAATGTATATTCTTTATTGTGTGCTCCTCGTGCTATGTGTATGTCAGCATGATAGCTGTTTCTAATTGGTTATTTGTGTGTAGGTGTTACGTACATCAAATTCTCCAAAACGTCAGAGGCGGCGTTTGCTCTCGAAGAGATGAATGGAAAGATGCTTGGCTCCGTTGGCAGGCCAATCAAAGTGATGATCGCCTCGAAGTAAGTCACCGTCATCTTTTATTTAGTTTACGTTTCCTCAGATAAACTTCATCCGATTTAGTATTTTCTCAAACGATCGATCATTTTGCAGTCGGGATCAAGGCTCGGTGCGAGAGACAAACGAGGAGGAGAGGTGGGTTCGTTTGTTCTGTGTATTACCGAAGACAATGTCCGACAGTGAGCTGCAACAAGAGTTCTCCAAATTTGGCTCCATCGAGTATGCTACTGTGGTAAAGGATCGTAGCACAAATGAGTCCAAGGGCTTCGGCTATGTGAAGTTCAAGAAGGTGTCTAGCGCCGCCAGGGCGTTTGAAGAGTGTGACAGGAAGTACAAGGCAGTGTTCGCCGAGCCGAAGAAGCCAAAACCTGATCATGGTGATGCCAAATACAATAACGGTCTGTCTACCTCTTACGATGGTTCTACCAGTACATACCCATCCTCAAACTTTGGCAAGAGCAGTATCAGCCTGGAAATCGCCACAAACTACCCCAACTCGGAAGGTTATACCCGTCTACAGGTGATTGCTCATCCAGCTTTGAATCAGGATCAACTGTGGAAATTATTTGATATAGTGCCCGGTATGGACTATTGTCATCTCAAAACTGATGTGAGATACAGAATGCCACGAGGGCAAGCTATAGTGGTGTACAATAACCCAAGTGCAGCGGCTTATGCACGTGAGAAGTTTCACGGTTTCGAATATCCACCTGGCCATCGGATGATTGTCAAACCAGATTTAACGAGCGCACCGCCGAAGAGTACGTCGAAACCAGGCAGTTCCACAACTGGCAGCGCCGCCAGCGCGAGGACGGACCTGGCACACTTAGCAGAGACGATTGCTCAAGCCACATCGTTGATTCAGGCTGCAGGGTTAACAGCACCAAGTAAATAAACTCATTTTTTTCTTTCGAATGCTTAATACATTGAGAAAGAAATACATGTATATGTGTTAATCATTACCAGGATATATAAGCTAATCTCTCGCTTCAGGTTTGGAGCATACAATGTGTGTGAAGTTGCCTCCAGTCCAGCCGATGGCGAGTATAGATGCAGAGGTGGCTAAAAGATGCTTTATCGTCTGCGGTCCACCGGTTCCGCCCATATACGCTATGAAAGACGCGTTCTGTAGGTTCGGAAATCTTATCGATGTATATATGTTACCTGGCAAAAATTGTGGCTACGCCAAATACGCCACCATCGATAGCGCGAATGACGCCATCGAGGTACGTATTGCCTACTTTGTCTTTGCTGTGTTTATCACGATATATCCGCCGCGCGAGCATATCATAGTTGCTGTAAAAAACCGGGATTGCATATTGCAGGTATTACATGGACAAGAGATCTGCGGTTCGCGCCTGAAAGTATTGGAGGCGGAAGAACGAAACGTTGGTGAAGACCGCCGGAAAAGATTAAGAATGGACGAGGATGAGAATTGAGTCAGAGATCGTTCTTACACGCGTAACTCGTAAGTAGACGGTGTTAAGCGCGCGACATCGCGACGATCGAGAGAAAGAGAAGGAGAGAAAGAGACGTTTCTTTTCTTTGAAATAGCGAAATACACCTTGACGTTTTTACTGACGTTATCACTCTCTACCTCCTCGGGGCAGGGGGTGGGGGGTCTGGGGGTTTGAGAAACGGCAGGAGAAAATGTAATTTTTCTATTTGTCTTCACAGACTGACTGGTATACACAAGCTGGACGCACGCAACAAAAAGAGACGAATTTAAAGACTCACTTGACCACGTGAAGGGCCTGGCATCCAGGGAAACTACTCCAACTACCTACCTATTTAACTGTTCGCTTACGTTCGCAACTTCAACGTTACTGAAACTTTAACTGTTACTCTACTGCTACTACTACTACTACTATTACTACTACTACTACTACTACTACTACTACTACTACTACCATGACTACTACTACCATTACTACTACTATCACTACCAAAACTACCATTAATACCACCACTACTACTGCTACTAGAACTACTACCACTACTACCATCATCACCACCATAACAACAACTACTACTACTATTGCTAAAACTATTATCATTACCATCATCATCACTATTACTACTACTACTATTACTACTACTACTACTACTACTACTACTACTACTACTACTATTACTACTACCACTACTACTACTACTACTACTACTACTATTACTACTACTACTACTACTACTACTACTACCACCACCACCACCACCACCACCACCATTACCATCATCACCATTACTATTACTACTATTACTGCTACTAGAACTACTACCACTGCTACTAGACTACTACTGATACTGTTACTACTATACTATACTATTATTCTATTACTTTACTACTTTACTCTACTATTACTCTACTGCTACTTTTATCCTCTTACATATTCGCTCACACACGCCACATCACTTGCGCGATATCCCGTTTTCGTTATTTTAAGAGGCCTGTGCGAAGGGTTAATGTTCGAGCATTTATTCATTTATTCGCTGTTGTTTACCTCCCGTAAATGTGTGAATGTCATTTCTTGATCAAAACACAGTCTTTTTTGGCAGGGGGGATAAGTTACACTAGTGGAAAGAGAAGAATACTGGTACAAGTGAGATATTTTCGTTTCTTTCGATCAATTTTCTGCCGATTCCTAGCTTTATTTTTGTATTGATTATTATCAGCTAATTAGCGTTGATGACATCACGCACAGTAAATTATCCAAGTAATTGAAATAAAGACAATTTTATTCTGACTCCATAAGAACCGACGTTTTTAATATGATATTTCGATTAGTGAATCGTTCGATTGATTATAAAAATAATTCGCTGTAATTTAACTTGACTTTATATTTAACTTTATGTTTTGTATAAAGTGAAGAAATGAGACACACATATATATAGACATTGAATAAATTGTCGCGTATGTAATGTAATTCACGCTCTTGTCATGCAATAAGTGTATTACTAACACCACCTGTTCGCACAGGCTTATCTTAGGGATTAACCTGTGTGTGCCCTAGATTTAGCAAAGAGATCTTTTATTTATATAGTTAAATTTCCGATGAGCATGTATTTGTCTCTTAGTTGTATTGCGTATAAAAAAGGAAGCAAAGCAATTTGTATTCTATACAACATTGATCATTCTCACGACGACCAGTGTTAAAATTATATTGTGGATGAAGGAATTATAGCAATTCCAAAACAAGGTATATCCTTGAATTCATTAGAAACATCCACTCTATCGGGAAGGGATCGTTACAACATATGCTGAAATGTTTCATTCTTTTTCGGTAGTAAAAAATTGTACAATTATTTCACATTATCATTTTCGATATTCACTTTATCAATATTTCATGATAAAATTGTAACACGCTCGTGCTCTTTAATCGCATCTTTTACGCAAAATGTCATTACTTAGATTCTAAGATAATAAAGATTATGGCCCGTTTCATACAAGATATTTTGGTCAAGGTCGATTGTGAAGATTCGTTGATAAGTTTATATCAACTCTCATCGATATCACACGGCTTTTAAACACGCGGTTGTGCTAAATTTTATAAAGAATTATATCATCGATGACTATCATGAAACATGTGGATACATCTTGTTTTGGAAGTGATTATGAATATATGACTAAATGAAAATATCATCGGAAGTATCCGGCGTTTCTTTACGCTTAAGAGCGTGGGCTTACAGTTTGCCCTACAGAGAAAAACAGGGAAAAGACCTTTCCTCGGACGAACCGATATTTATTTATCCACCATCACGAAACCAACCTCGTCACACACTAGTGATCGACGCACAACATGAACGTTTTATGATGGACACTTTTGTACCACCGTTGCGTTAGGACTCTCACTGTATGACCGTACCGAATAATGTTCCAGGAGACTGTAACTGACTTGTTTTCCATTTTCTTTTTGAAAATATCAAATACACATGGAATACGCAAAAACCCCACACCGACTCTTTCACTTGATTTTTTAAAGTTAATTCTTACTGCTTATATGGAAGTGTATGAATATTGAATCACGTGATTGAATCCTATCTTGGTCTGATATGTGTTCTTCTCGCTTTCAGGATACCGCGAGGATTCCATGAAGCGCTGTACCTGATGACTGTGATACCATTTCTAGTGACGTAAGATTATTATAATGTTTTTACTGTTGTATTTGTATAAAAAGAAACGTTATATATATATATATATATAACGTCCACATATATATATATATGCCTATATATGTTTAATATATTTTTACATAGTTTTCGGTTGTGTCATTTATGCTCTTGCGAACGAGACCTGTGCCTTGTACACTACTTCCATTTCATGATCAGACGAACAGTGACGAATTGTCTTTCTGTCTTTAAGAACTTTATTAATTATTTAAACCAATGATGATAATCTGCTTGAAAGATTTCTGAATCTAAAATTTAATGATATTCATGAGCGATTTGGAATAACTTAATCCGTCACTGCAAAGAAGGATTGTATCTTCCTTCCAAGAGCTTAGTAGGAATAGTCAAAACGTCAAATATGTCATATATGTTATTAGACATAAGAGTACAATAGTAAACGTACACTCAAACACAGACGGCTTAAGATAGTAAATCTAGTCAAACGATTAAGGAACAATGCGGCCGTAAATTGACTCTTTTATGTAACATGAGAGATGCATGACGAGATATCAATTTCTATTTATTATTTTCTAACGCTGAGGGAACAAAGGAACATTAGCAATTGTTGGCACAATTATTATAACAAGACAAAATGAGACGATATATTAAAATAGGAAAATAAGAAGTAATTAGGGGAACCTAGACATATAAGTAATGCAACAAAGTGACGACAACAATTATTGTATCTGTTGCTTCTGAGACTCTCAGAGTTTCAGACTTTGAAACAAAAAAAGACAAACAAATCCCCCAAATCGATTACTCGAGAAGCCAGGAGTAAAAGGAATTAAATGAGTCAAGCGGGGTCAGCGTTGATTCGCGCGGCGGTAACGCGTAGTTCTACTTTGTTCGCGCCGATCGCGATCTCGCGAAGCGAAGTGGGGCACCTTCGCCCTGATATAGGTTGCGGCCATCGATGACATGGGTGGCGGGAGGTGAGCGCGGCTTCGCGCTCACGTGTCTTAGAACGTGCAGTCCGCCGTGCGGCGCACTTCAGGCCGATCATCGCGGTTGCAGTCGAAGCTCAGTTCGCGTGGAAACCGTCAAGCGACGAACGACGCGTCTCGTCATTGTCGCCGTCGTCATCGTTATCGTACGTGAAGAAACATCACGAGCATAAACATTTCGTCGGACCCCTCCGCCAATTTCGATCAGGACCAACGGAGCGGAAGATGAACCACGCGCCAGTAACTTAACGCGTGTGCGTGCGTGCGTGAGAGGAATCGAGATAAGGGAACAATTTTTGAGAGATTTGTCGATTCGATAGGGAAACGCACGATGGAGGAGGTGTCCGTGGAGAACGCCAAGATATCCGACTCGGGATATTCCAACACCTGCAGCAACAGCCAGTCACAACGCAGGTAAGTGCGATCTTTTCGCACGTTCGCGAGTTATTCATTTACGCGCCAACGGATTCAAAATGTCCGCGAATCCGTCCGCCATGATGCGACCTCGCGCGATCATTTTTGATTATTTTTGGACGGAAGCGCGAGAACGTAGCGGGGTCGTCACTTTGAAGGTGGAAATTTCAGTTTTATTGTTTGCACGCGAGAAGAGTGTCTCGTGTGTGAAGACGGTTCTCTGCGATTTCGTCTCCGATTTGGTTAATGCGAACTACGTGAATCGCTCGTCTTTCGATAATACTTCCCACCGAAAGTCAAGAGGTCCAAAGTTTTAGGTTAAGCGGCCGGCGTATCGCTGCCCCAAGAATAAGTTAGGTTATTTCATTAATTTATAATCAATTTTGACGTATCTATATTTTCTCTTCTGATCAAATTAAAATACGACATTAAGGATTTCTCGTGTTTGTATGCAAATGACAAGTGACGGTACAACAGCTTCTCCTTTGAATCGTAAATTAAACGAATAATTTCTTCTCATTTTTTCGAACTTGCGGTATAAATCAGTTCAGATTTCGTAAGAAATATGACGTTGAGGAAACGCATCCACAATGTGTATTTAGTCTCTCTCACGTTTTTCTTCGTTTCGGTACATACTCAGCTTTCTAAGACCTAGCGGAATGAAATATCGTAGTGCCATTGTGAAATATATTTTTACGAGGGGAATTTTCGTTCGCAAGGAAAGGTAGGGAGCCCGGAAATTCAAAAATTATGAAACTTTGTGTGGAAATAAAGTAGTCCATCCGTAATGCAAAACTATTTTTTGTTCGTGCGGAATTCCAGTCTGAGGGAGTGAAACCACCCTTCGAAAAAAAAATCATTTTCATTTTTAATATATATCTTTTAAAATACGAGGCATATGTAAAAATGGTTTATATGAAAGTTATAATATATTTCATACTCTTTGCAACTGTATATTCAGATTTTGCAAAATTGGAAGAGAGCGAAGGGGGTTTCGAAAATTTTTCAATTTTGCAAAATTTGACTACTTTACTTTATTTCCACACAAAGTTTCATAATTCTTTGAATTTCCGAGTTCTCTATGTTTCCTTGTCAGTTACGCTGAGACAAGTACTTGAGCTTCTCTCTCGCTTCCCGCGAGATGGGAAAGTGAAAGGGTGAAATATTAATTAATAATTCTACCTGTGTGCGTCATTCGTACAGAGTTTGGTCATGGGATCGCGTATTTATTGTGGAGAAAATAATTGATCCTATGATCGTTGAAACGACGCGCTCCTCGGCGGAACGGTCGCTCTCAACGTTTATATAATCGGAATCATCGGTTTAATATTGTTTGGCTTCGACGCTGCCTGTTTACACGCTGCCAACGTCCTGATCATTGCCATCCCTTGTGCATGTTGCGCAGATCAATAGGCACGTTGGAAGATCTGAGATTCTGCTTTTGGCAGGAAAGAATAAGAAGAGAAAGATACTTACGGATCTCATTCGCTCCGGAATAAATTTGCGCAAAAAAAAAAGATCGACGTCGAAATTGTCTCTTGCGAGGAGAATATATTACAATATATTTGAATTCGCTACTCTTCGGATGAATGTCTCGCGCAATCAAATTTGATAGTTAACTCATTTGCATCCGCAAGTGGAATAATCCGCACATAATGATTGTCACTTATCCACGGAATTTTTAATTTAATAATTTTTAATTTATATTTATTTTTAATTAATTTATTTTTTTATTTTTTTTATTTATTTAGAGCTGTGATGCAAATGGGATAAGAATAAATTTTTTTATTTCTTTTATATTCTACAATGTAAAAGATTATATTCACGTAATTAAATACGTTAATTGCGAGTAGTTGATCGTAAGTCGACAGCGTCGATTGACGAACGTAATGGAGAATATCCGATTGTTGTGAATAATGCGTGTACTTCGTAGTAGCCCTCGGGATACTTGGCATTGACACGCTTTCCATCCGGCGTGACGGCGATAGGCTAAAGCGAATAGCGCGATGGAGAGAAAGAGAGAGACGGAAAATCGTACAGTTCGGTTAAGGCTAACCGGTTTCTTGGCACGATACATGCGTGCGTGTGTGTCGATTGCATTTCCACGTCCTTAGTTAATGCGGCTACGGCAATATTGCGAAATTCTCCCCGCGAAAACGGGTCGAGCAAGAAGGAGGCGTTAATCGACTCACTATCGTTCCTACTGCCACGATACAGCGCGGCAGTATTATTGTCGCGGTTAATACGAATTTACAGACGAAATCCTTTCGGCTATTTAAGAATTTTGTTTCGTTCGAAATGTTGTAAAGAACTGACTGAAATAGAGAAGAAAATTTATCTTCTCACGTTCGCGGTCGAAAAGAAGTTTGCTTCAAGTGACGCGCTTTCGTCGAATTGACACTCACTCGTGCACCAATGATTGAAGGAGGGGCAGGGAGAAAGAATTCTTATCGGTCGCGTTCTCTCTTTGTTTTCGATTTGCAATCGCAACCGGTCGTTTGATCCATCCGTATTCATCACCTGATTCGAACTGTCGTCCAACTCGTTCTTAACGGCGAGCTTTCATCGCACGGTGTCATTTCGGTGTAATCGCGTCTTGACATCCAGACGCGCTATTATAGGTATTTGCGGTTATATTTCCGGTCGAGACACATGGCCGACGGACGATTATATCCCAACGTGGAGACGCCGCGGATGGACGACGGGGTGGGTGCGTGGGTGCCGTGGATAACGAGCAAGTTTTCTCCGGAGATAATTGCGCGTGGGCATTGTAAATCGATCTTGTACCGAATTGTGCGTATGTGCCATACATGTACATATATGTGTGTGTGTGTGTGTGTGTGTACGTGCGCGGATTGCATCCGCACGTGCGCGCACCGTAAACAAATCGCTCGTGTCGATTGTGGTGGGCATAATACTGTAACGTGACATTTCGCCAGGGCGAAATTTATTTTTATACCTCCGTTATTTGCGCGTCCACGACGGCGTAAGGCTGCGGAATTTAGCGTCGTCGCGTGTAGCCTTCGATATATAAATATATTCCAATTATAATTAGATATATAATCATACGGGCACGTATCCCTAATAAGAATTGCCAGAGAGGCCGTCCTGATTGCCTGGGATCCGTCTGGAGTCGGATTGATACGAAGGACGAGGTCTCTGCATGAACCTTGAGAAACGCGGAAGGAAATGTTAACTTTGTTTTCAAATGTTTTTTTTTTCTTCGTCTTATCGGGGGGAGTTACACACGGAAGACCGTTTTCAAGGCTATTTTTACGAATTTTTCAACAGAGATGCTAAGATCAATGGACTTGAAATTTTCACAGTGTATTCATGAATGTTCAAGGTATAAAATAAATTTTATTGAATCACAAGAACGGATCCAATTTGTAATTATAAATAAAAATGCAGTCATCCGTTTGCGAACTCTATGTTTGCTGTCGACATAATTCCGGGCCTCTCATTACTCTAAAACCGAAAACTGAGAAAGATTTTTAAAATATACATTTGCCATTATAGCCCGTACTACATAAAATGCAGACAGTGAAGCCAAGTTTGGAAAAATAATAACTGTACAAAGAAAGGTATCGAAAATGAAACTTTTTTCAACTTGTAATCATATTTAAAAAAAATGAATAAAATAAAATATAACTGTGTTCGAGGTAGGGGCGAAAACTACATGTCTACTGTATATTGTGTAAAAATTACAAGTTATTCGATTTAGTAGTTTTTGGAGATGTGCGAATCAAGCATTTTTATGTTGAATCGAATCGAATTTCATTTTTTAAATTCGAATTCGAATCGAATCGTATCTATGAAATTTCATTCGAATTCGAATCGAATCATTAAAAAACTTAACATGACTATTAAACATGCACATAATGATAGATTTTGAATATGAAAAGGGATGTTGATGTTGTAATATTACCTTAAAGTAAAATATATATTTAAATATTTAAAGTAATTTATAATTAAGTTATTTATTATAAGTTAAGTTAATTACAAATTAAGGGTTCAAACATACAGGCCCAGATAACTTGTTTTGTAGCTGATGCATGCAAACGCTAATATATTTGATTCGTATTCGAATCTTCGATTCGAAATTTTCGAATTATTCGGATTCGAATCATAGGGATTCGGATTTGAATCGAATCTAATATAATTCGATTCGATTCGATTTGAATTCGAATAGTTCGCACATCTCTAGTAGTTTTTGCATAATCGTGTCGACAGTCTAAGAAAATAATGTTTCCAGATAAACGCGATTAAAGTCTTATGCGTACTTTCCATATAGATAGTAAAAAATTTATTTCATACTTGGAACATTAATAAATACACTGTGAAAATTTAAAGTCCATTGATCCTATCGCTTCTGCCAAAAAAAAAAATTTGCAAAAATAGCGTTGAAAACGACCTGCTCCGCATGTAATTCCCCCTTGTAAAGCGGACCCTTAAATCAGTTAAGTCCCGAAACGCGTAAAAGTGATTCGACCGCCCTGGAAATGTTCCTTTGTCCCACGGCACGCGTCGAGAGGGAAATGCAATGGAATCGGCAGCGTGTAGCTGCGGACTTCCAACACGTGATATTTAAAAGCCAAACTGCTCGCGGTAGATTTTTGCCTAACACCAGCGCAATTGAGGGCGCGTACATTTCACCGTTCCCCATTTTCTCGCGTCCCGGATCGCGTCTCGAGCGTAAACTGGTGAACGGAATCGATAGACACCGCCGCCGCCCTCGCCGCCGCCGCCGCCGCCGTCGTCCTCGCGGTAGTCAGTCACGGGGCCGCGAACGTGAAGCGGTGCGCTTTCTTATGCAATAATTTTTCCAACCATGCAGGACTCCGCGAACAAATGCGGCCAACCGACCGACCGACCGACCGACCGACCGATCGGTTGATCGGTGGCCGGCGAATAATGGGGACAGTGAAAGGCCCGAGAGGCTGCGTGTTAGGGCCGTCACGTTTGCCGAACATGTGATCGCGGCTCTTTTTTCCAGCCGGGACCGGTTACTCGCTGCAATTTCGACTCGCTTGATTTTCCTGACGACGACGACGACGACGTTGTCGTCGTTAGATAGGCCGAGGCCGTTGCGAGATCACCGTGTCGCCGATTTCGCAAGCACCATGCGTTGCACGGCGTCACGTTTAGCCGAATCGAGCACGGCGGAAAGGGCGGAGAGAACCCGCGCGTGATCGGTGGCGAGAATCGGCGCGATTTTTCTTCGCCGATCGCGATCGACCTCATTACGACGAGCGTTGCGAAACATCGGAGAATTTGCCATTTGGCGAGCGTTACAGTATCGCCGAATCGATCAACTTGGTCGAGAGTGACTCGACGTGGCGAGAGTTTCCTGGGACTCTCGCGAATGCTCATGCGACCCTCGCGATCTCTCCTGTTCTTCTTATTTCTTCTTCCTGTATCTTCTGTTTTCTTTTTTTATTATCGTTTAATTCACCATCGCGTACACGTCTCGCAGTACTTAACGCGGAAGATCTCCAAGAGGAGAGAACGTCGATGAGAGTCGAACCGCACGTGGACGGCCGTGTTGTCAAAGTGCCTTTTGTTAATGCAAATGTCCCGTTCGGAGTTCGTCCGCGACGACAACGGCGCCAGTGGAAACGCCTAGGCAAGGTCGGACACTTCGTCGGATCTTTTAGGCATCCGTCAGAAAGAGCCACGAGAGACGCCACGCGATGTGAACTTGCACCCATCGATGTGGAAATGTGGATTCTGATCCTTGGCATTTTTTTGCAGCAGCGGTAGTTCGATCTCGAGGAACAGCAATCGCTCCGAGAGCAGCGGTTACTGCGGCAGGCGCCCTTCGACCTTCGGATCCAGGTGAGTCGCTCCTTGCAAAAGCCAACTGGTCGTCCAGTCGAATTTCACACTTTGGAGGAATTCGGCCAAGTTCCCAGCAAGTCTCTAATTGTCCAAGTGGATTGCATTGTACGAAGATCGCTCACTCAAAAAAAAGTAATTTTAGAACAACAGAATCATCTAAATCTTAGAGGATTTTTTATTCTTATATATGGCCTCAAGAGGATTCTTCTAAGATCAAGAAAATATTATAAACATTATTCTTAAAGTTAAAGGAATTATATATGTTATATGTATCATGCAAATCTTATTGATTTTAATATAAATTTCCTCTTATACAGAGATTATTTAATCTTTTCTTAAAAGGTTAAATAATAATAAAATAAATGTGGCGACGATCATCATATGCACAGAAAGAGTGTCTCTGTGTGTGTGTGTGTGTGTGTGTGTGTAGATGGAAGAGAAAAAACGCCGACAAGCATTCTTCTTGATATAAATTATGAAAATTAATTGTATATAAGAGGAAATCCTCTTGAAATAAGAGGAAAACAGAATAATATCTAATAAGATTTAGATGAATGGTTCATTTTAATCGCTTTATCAAAAGAGGAATCATTTTCCTACACAAAACGCTTCGCTTAGAATATGAGACTATGAAAAAAAAATCACTTTACAAATAGAATACTTTTTTTGGGTGCTGCGTTTAGAACGCGAGCATCAGTCTGGGAACTGTGATCGCGGGGTCAGAGATCGCACGGAGAGATTTGGACTCTGTCGTTTCTTCGCGCAAAATTTCGTATTAAGCTATTTCATCAAGTTACTTAAGCATTTAATTCGCTCTTCGAAGAAGCGAGCATCCACGCGTGAGCGAGCGAACAAACGAGCAGACGAACAAAACGCGCAAACGTGATACGGGACTATTTAGCGGCGCGGCTATTTACAGCGTTGCACGCATGGAACTACCGCTGAGTACGACGCTGAAGTACGGCGATTTGATCGACCACGTTGAGAACAGTCGAATGTATTTTCAAGGGTGATTCGCAGAAGCGGAAATTATATTATCGCGCGTACTCGGCCAACGAGACTTCCTCGGCCGGGAGAGAGCTCGACGAAGACGGAAGCGAGCGACGGGAGATCGATCGACCGCGATATTGGAGGACGAGAAAGGCCACCAGGTGCGCAAGGACCGATTCGTTTAAAGGACGATCCCTCCTTCCCGCTCTTCCGCGGTCTTTCCCAGGCTCAGGCTTCGTCTCTCTAAGATCGTTACTGACGTTACTCTCGAGATTCCTCATTGCTTTCAGGCGTTCTATAATCGGATGAATTTTATACGAGGCTCGCACACCTCTCTCTTCTTCTCTCGCGAAATTGTCGAAGGATCATTTCCTGTAGTCTTCCGACCAATGAGCCATGATCCTGTTTATCAGCTGTTTATCTCCCGCGATGTTATTGGATTGTTACTTTAGCACGCAGGTAATTCGGAGTGCGGATTTGCGCCGTAACATGACCAGGTTTTGACAATCGGATCATTTGTGTCACCCGGAGAGTAGGGTCCTTGCCAAGGTGCCAAGGTTTCGTAACCAATCTTCCCGATACGCGCAGCTTGCATGTTTTAGAGGGAGTTCTCGGTCGAGGATTGTCGCGAGGAAGACTCACAAAGGAAAACATTTATTCTCTATCTTATTGATAATGTACACATCTGGAAAACTGTAAAAAAATATCTGTACGAGCTTGTGATCCTTTTTCACGGAACTTTTGTTTTCAATTAACTGCTTCTCATCTTGTTTAAAGATCCTTCGTTTTCGTAGTAATTTTCGTCTTCAGATAAAATAGCAGTCGCTCGAAAGCGGCGTTTCCAAGACCCAAATTTATTTAGCAAGTTTATTTAACTTATAAATTCATAACTCAAGCTTACGAAAGCATGATCGATGAAATAAAATAAATAATAATGAAATAAAATTAAATAACTCCTGTAACGCGAGGAATATTTCCTCTTCATCATTATGTAAATCCTCATTGCGACATCCCACAACGACATCCTACGAGCCGAGTTTTCCACGTTCCTTCTCCGTCTCGTTGTGACTTTGTTTAACGAAGATCTCCCCTCGACATGACACAATTAAATAAATAACTGTGCGAACGTTCTGCTCGCGGATCTCCCGTGATGAAGATGACTGATGCGATCACGCATCTGTGTTCATCACCACCACAGCGTAATCACAATCGTAGACGTGTAAAATAAATGATCAAAATCAGTTACGATTAAGCCACGCGCCGACACGCATACAGTCGCATTGTATAAACACAGACGCACGTGTCATGCCACGTGCCCGCGACTCCGTGCCGTCGCTGGTCGCCTAAGTATTCATCAGACACTCCCACGTATTGTTGCATAATACGCGCAGATAAATGCGACAAGAGAGAAGAGAGAGAAAGAGAGAGAAAAAGAGAAAAAAAATGCCACCATTATTATAATACATTCTAAATTTCACGTCTATTAATCTTTCGAGTAAATTGACTAATGAATGAATCTAGTAATTTCAATTTTTACTATGTTGCTGAGAACCAATTAAGCTATTTTATAAATATGTAATTTCTTTTCTTCTTATTTAATCGCCTTTACAAGATATATTATATTTTTCTGTTTTTCATAAGAGGAAATATTTTTCTATTATACTTAGTAAAATAATAAGCAAATAATCTGGAAAGTCGCAGTCAAAAGCGATCAGTCGACGACTCGTCAGTCATTACGTTCTGATGAAGTTTCAGACTCTTCGCGAATTTTGCAGATCCGAGCTTACGAGGGTAGTCCCTCGAGAGTAGAAATACCTGACCTAACAAAGAAAACACAAACAATTTGGGAAAAAATATCTTTATTTCTCTACATAGTCTCCTTTTAGCTCAATACACTTTTCCCAGCGATGTTCAATAGCTTCGATACCCTGTTTATAGTGGGAATCGTCGAGCTCCTCAAAATAGCCATCAACCGCATACTCCACCTCTTCATTGTCTTTTACAAAATCTTTTACCACCGAGCCATCTTTTCAAATTTGGAAACAGAAAATAATCCGAGGGGGCTAAATCTGGCGAATAGAGTGCGTGAGGAAGCAATTCGAACTTTAACTCATTGATTTTGGCCATCGCGATAACGGATGTGTGAACTGGTGCATTGTCTTGATGAAACAAAACTTTCTTTTTCGCCAAATGCGGCTGTTTTTTCTTGATTTCATCACTCAAATAAGTCGCTGCAATAAGTTCGCATAATACTCGCCGTTGATTGTTTTTCCTTTCTGAAGATAATCAATGAAAATTATCCCACGCGCATCCCAAAAAACTGATGCCATGACCTTGCCTGAAGATGGAACTGTCTTCGCCTTCTTTGGAGCCGATTCTCCCCTTTCAGTCCATTGTTTTGACTGTTCCTTCGTCTCAGGTGTGAAGTGATGGACCCATGTTTCATCCATGGTTATGAATCGGCCTTATTGCTGTGAAACTTCGCCAAACACTCGATTGAAACGTCCTCATGACGCTGTTTTTGTTCCAATCGCGGCATCCATCTTGCGCACAGCTTTCTCATGTCCAAATTTTCAGTCAATATGCGATGTACAGCACTTTTTGAAATGCCTACCATGTCTGCTAACTCGCGCACTTTCAGTCGACAGTCATCCAATACCATTTTGTAGATTTTCTTCACCATTTCTGGCGTGGTCACCTCATTTGGTCGACCACTGCGATGTTCGTCTTGGCAGCTCGTACGGCCTCGTTTAAACTCTGCCATCCAATATTTTACTGTTGTAAACGAAGGAGCAGACTCCCCCAGAGTAGAATCTAGCTCCGCTTTGATATTGGTTGGACTGACGCCTTCCAAATGAAAGTATTGTATCATATAACGATGACCAATTTTTTCCATGTTTATAAATTCACCGAGAGCGTTCACTATTGATGGCTGCCAAACAAATACTAAACAACGTAGCGTCGTCAAACTTCAAACTTAAGCTTTATAAGATTGGTACTTTCTACCATAGTCATTCTTTTCAAACAACAACCACCATCTGTACGTCAAGTCAGGTACTTCTGGGACTACCCTTGTACTGTTTCTGAGAAGGCGCATTAATTGCGAACTGCTATGATGATGCGGTACCGTTTCGCGGTATTCAGATTTTGCATAATATATTCAACGAGACCTGGAATAGAATTGTAAACCACAATGAAGGTCAGGTTTGAATCTAATGATAATCACTCATCTTATAACGTGACTCAACAGGCTTGTTTCGTTAAAATAGATTAAGATTTATTACGGGTGCCAAAAATGGGAATGTTTTCTTGTGATATGTCGCATGGTCTGAAAATAATTCCATTTCTCGTAGTCTTGAGTAACCTCCATTGTTAGCAACTCGCTAACTCTCGAGGCTACTCGCGTCTCTCGCATTGTTTAAAACAAGTCGGTAATCACCGATTACGTTTGTACGATAAGAAAAGACGTCTGAGTTGATTACGCGAGAGTGTAATCTTGCGAACGGCTATTTCCGCTTACCGTCACAGCGTCGAAATATTTAACAATAGCGCGAGAATGCGAAGGGCAGAGACATCGAATTGTCATTACGTGGATTGTAATATAATTGTCCGAATTTTGTAAGGCGGGAAAATTGAAATGCGACGTTTCAAAAAATCATAATTTTATTATTTCGATCAAATTCGACGAACATACTCTTTAATTTATTATTATCGTCTGGATAAGATGCGACGAATGTGTTTTCGAAAATTGACAATTATTAAGTTGGTGACAATTATTGACAATTATTAGGTCGGTACAAAAATAATCGCGATTTTTACATATCGAGTATAAAGACACGTATACATCAATTAAAAATTATATTTATTAATCAAAATAAAGATCATTGGCCTGCACACATTTCTCCCGACGGCGAACAAGTTTGTTTATTTCTACAAGATGGAATTTTGGAAAAGATAACAGTAGCTAGAAAAATCAGCGCCAAAGTGATAAACTTAAAATGATAAAAAATCTCAATTATTTTTGCGTCAACATAATAATACATAAGATTTTACAAGTAAAACTTATAAAAACTTACCTTTTTAAACAAAAAGGTAAAAAAAAGGCGCCAAGTACAAGCGCAACACGCATTGTGTTATTTTTAGAAGTATCAAACTCAAATTATTTTTTTTACTATATTTTTGCGTCAACATAATATCATCGATCTATCCTTAGGATTATCGCCGCGTTCGGGAATGCAATTTCGCGCTACCTACGCGTCGCAAAAATGCACACGTGGCTGAGGCTTCCGGTGAAAGCTCCGAATAATGATTAGGTGAATACAAACTTTCCCCGGCTTGTGTAACGTTACGGTGTCACGTTCCTCTCACACAGAGATTGTTATATCAGAGACCCTTTTTCGTGACTTTTCCGGGAGAAAGGCATCGGCTATTATGCTGTAACCACAATGTAAGAGCGCGACGTTATCCTCCCTCGAGGAGGATACTGCAACGTTACATGTGCACGCTCCTTTGATTTATTCTCGCGCTTATTTTTAGACAGACACGTCCGAGTCGCAAACGTGTTCGCAAACGTTGTTCTCGCTTATCAACGCAGTTCCCACGTTGATATTCGCTCGTCACATGGCGCGACACGAGGCTACCCCTCGACTTGCATGTGCCGCGAGACTTCGATCACACGATCATTTCGAGCGACTAATAACGGCCGATTCGCCGATTATCATCAAATCAGTCCGTATTAGTTCGGAACGGAATGAAGTATTGCAATCGCTCGATATTGCGTTACCGTATCAAGCATGTAGATCATTACACTGTATGTACTAATGCAGCAATGAGGCATTACCGCAGCCGATCAGCAAGAGAAAGGACAAGGAGCACAAGAAGAAGAAGTCGAAGACGGTGTCGGCGATCACCGCCGAGGAGGCGGAAGTCGGCCTGAAGACTGTGAACGCGCCGGCCGAGGTCGCTTCCTATAACACTGTTGTGCCGGCGAGTGTCATACTTGACCAGAAACCAGGTTGGTTACGATACACAAACGCCGGGAACGAGTGCACGCGAACCGCCCGCGGCTTTCCTATTCCACCGGGTCATCGCTGCAATCCATCGGGAAGGAGGCGCGAGCTTGCGGAGAACAGAGATTGGCGGAATTAACGCGACAACGGACGAACCGAAGACGTTTTGCTCGAGGGAAACGAAACTTTCGGTTCTTATCAGCCAGGAATTCTTCTTCTTTCAAACTACATTTGCGTTCGGATCGTTCATCGTCACGTTAAGGAGAGAATTACGCGCGGAAGGCCGTTTTCAAGGCTATTTTTGCGAATTCTTTTAACAGAAATAGTAAGATCAATAAACTTGAAATTTTCACAGTGTACTCTCATTAATGCTCAAAGTATAAAATAAATTTTATTGAATCATAAGAACCGATCCAATTGTAATTATAGGTAAAAATACAGTCATCCGTTTGCGAACTCTATGTTTGCTGCCGACATCATTCCGGGCCTCTCACTACTCTGAAACCAAAAAATGGGAAATATTTTTAAAATATACGGTTGCCATTGTAGCCGTACCAAAATGAAGGCAGTAAAGCCAAGTTTGGGGAAATAATGACTGTACAAAAAAAAGTATTGAAGATGAAACTTGTTTCAACTTGTAATCATGTTTAAAAAAAAATGAATAAAATAAAATATATCTGTGTTCAAGGTAGGGGCGAAAACTACATGTCTACTGTATATTGTGTAAAAATTTCAAGCAATTCGGTTCAGTAGTTTTTGCGTAATCGTGTCGACAGTTTAAGAAAATGGCGTTTCCAGATACGCGTTTAAAGTCTTTTGTGTACTTTCCATATAGATAGTAACAAATCTGTTTTATACTTTGATTACATTAATGAATACACTGCGAAAATTTCAAATCCGTTTCTGTTAAAAGAATTCGTAAAAATAGCCTTGAAAACGGCCTGCTCCGCATGTAATTTCCCCCCTTAATTCAATCAATCTTTCTCTTTTGCCTTCGTGTGTGCTTTCGGTTGTTATCGGCTCGTGGAAGAAACAGAAATCTCGCGCCGTAATAATTATCGTTGATTTTAATCATCGATTAAGTTTGTTAGCATTTTGAGCAGAGTTCGTCGACGGTTCCTCTCCGCGGATCGATGCGTGCGACTCTCGTCTGACCATACGTGTGCCGTTTTCACTCGCTCAGTGAAGCGAACATGAGTTTCGTGCGTTTTCTCACTTAATGAATCGTTACTTACCGCCACCTGTTGAATCATCGTCGCAGAATAACCGATTACCGTACATCGGGACCTTATTATTCTTCTATTTGTTTTTTGCGCGTTTCTGATAAGCTGGTTTCGTGCACTCTTCCCGATCTCTTCAGGTTTCGCTTATCCTCCTACTTAAGGCTTCGACAGAATTCCTCTCATGATTATCCCTTAGTCCGGCAAGCATCTCGATACGAAGTTACCCTATTCGCCCGAAGCTAACGTCTTGGCAGAGACGTTAGCCTGAAGGATTAATGTCGACGAAAAGCTTTCGCTCGTAGGAAAAATCTCAACCAAGTGCGAAGCCAACCAGATGCGAGGCTTCGAAGCGCGTTTAGCGCATCGATTATGGACGCCCGATGCAAGTGTACCGAATAACATTTCTTTAAATTAAAATAATGGAAGGAGGATGAGAAAGCGGAAATTTCAACAAAAATCTAAACGCGGGCGGTGGGCAGTCACTAGAGATGATCCGCTTTCAGGACTCATCATCGATGAGAGACGACGAGAAAAATCCATTATCATTCTTTTTTATTTTAACGTTTTCCTTCAAATTAAATTTATTTCTTTTTTTGGATTGGAATAATAGAAAAAAAGAACTTCGCGGGAAACAATAAAAAGGCAAAGTCTGAGCAAAAAAGACTAAATGCGATCATTAGAGATTCACTTTCAGGATCCATCGACGAGAGACGGCGAGAAAAATCCATTATCATTCTCTTTTGTTTTAATGTTTTAACGTTTTCCTTTAAATTAAATTTATTTCTTTTTTGGATCGGAATAATAAAAAAAAGAACTTCGCCAAAAACAATAAAAAGGCAAAGTCTAAGCAAAAAAGACTAATAGGCAATCATTAGAGATCCGCTTTCAGGATCCACCGACGAGAAACGACGAGGAAAATTCATTATCATTCTCTTTTAACGTTTTCCTTTAAATTGGATTTTCTTTTGGATTGGGATTTATTTCTTTTTATTGGAATAATAGAAAAAAAGAACTTCGCGAAAAACAACAAAAAGGCAAAGTCTAAGCAAAAAGAAAAACTAAACGCGATAGGCAATCATTAGAGATCCACTTTCACAGGACCCACCGACGAGAGACGACGAGAAGTCGTCGAGAAGTCGTCGAATTTATTGTCGTCCTCTAACGTTCTCGTAATTTGTCTCGATCACGCAAACGCGCGTGCGTTCAGTCGCGCGTCACATCGACGGCTGATTCCTCCGGCGATTTGGAGGAAACACGTGCGATACATGGCGAGTGCACGTTGAACTCATTTGCGAGCACATGCGATTGCACAGGCACATCATCGTCGCCTCAGAAATAGTCACCTTGTTCTCTCATCGTCACATCTGTTCAGGCCGTGCTCGGGCAGAATCGTGACACGCGTGGGCGAGAGGAAATAGAATCCGTCCTCGTAAATGGGACGCAAAATTTTCCGCTCAACGTGACGCCCATACCTATACGGAATGCACCGATACGAAGTGCGAGGTTATCGATTTCTTCGTCGGTATCCAGAGTATTAAGAGCGATGCGACACCTGTTGCTCCCTTTTAACTTTACCGATCGCCTCTTCATGCTCGTCTTCGTACCTGCCGCCTCCGTTCGTTTTCGTACAGGTCCTTGCGATCCAGACGGAAGGAAGAGGCGATACGAAAATATTTTCGCGAGAGAGAAAAACGGATCGATAAATACGCGTTTTAGTCAGTTTTCACGCGCTACAAATTCATTATGCAGAATTCTTACTAGATTCTTACTAGATTCGCTCGCTAGGATACGCTTAGATCTTGTCGCGAGGAGACCTGGTTTCATTTGATTCGGAAGCACGCGCTCCCTCCTCCCTCTCACCGTTCTTTCTTTTCTTCCACGTAAACGCGTCATCGTTAACCTCTCAGCGGCAAGGCCCGTATAATTGGAGTAATTGCCGCGTCGGAGTATTTTTAGCAGGTTAATGCCAGCCCACGGTGGTGTTAATTGGAGCCCGCGGCGAGTGCGTTATGAAATCACCCTCTCGTTCTGCGTCTGTCGTGGTGTGTTACTCCCTATGTTTGCGTAAGCGTTTACGTCGTCGTTTATTTAATCCCTTTACCGATGCATATAAATATGGAGAAAAGATCGGTACTCTCTCTCACATGGACGCGCCGTTAACGTCACCTTGCAGTTTCCTTTTCGTTTGGTTTTTCAATTGCAGTTATGTAGAGTGTATTATTTGCATTCTGGTTTTACCATTTTACTCTTGTGAATTTGATTTCCAAATTAATGTTATTTCAATTTTCTTTTTTCATTTGTATCTTGTAGTTTTGTATTTTGTAGTTTCCTTCAGTCATTTTATTTTTGAATTTGATTTTTATTTCAATCTTGCAGTTTCGTTTTTTTTGCTTGTTCAATCGGAGTTATGTAGAATGTATTATTTGCATTACCATTTTACCATTAATTACCAATACCAATTTACCATTTTACTCTTGTGAATTTGATTTTTATATCAACTTCATTATTTTAATTTTCTTTCTTGATTTGTACTTTGTAGTTTCATCACTTTATTTGTGAATTTGATTTTTATTTCAATCTTACTTTACTTTATTTTTTAATTCTATTATTTTATATTATTTTCATTCTATTATTCTATTATTCTTCACTGCTTTATTACTTTATTTTTGCGCGAAGAATCCTTTGTACGTTGTTACGCATTGAAAAAGGAAATATAGGAAAATCTCTCCATCCGAGCACCACGGGGTAGAACACGTGTGCGCAAAGGGAAGGACGAGAGGGTTGATAGCCGCGGTATCACGTGTGGCACGTCAGGCACGATATACTCACTATACCGCCATCATCACTTTCACTGAAATATCGCATACACGCACATGCACGCCTGCTCGTTCCATGTGTTCGCGAAGAAACCACAGCGAATGCCTTTCACCGGGAAGCAACGCTACACTTGGAGGTCGTTAAGTCCCGTAATGGCATTGAACTTTCGGCACGTCGTTACTCCGCGCCGTGAACTCACGTAAGCACGACAAGGATTTTATGAGACACGCTTGTTTCCGCGTCACTTTGGACTAAGGGAGCGCCCTTCCCCGCTCCCTTACCTTCCCGAATTTTCGCTCCCACCCCCCTGTGGCGCAGATGAAATTGATCTTGCGCACGATGTTAGACGATCCTTACAAATCTATTGCTTCGTCACGTAATTTAATAAATAAAATAAATAAAAATTAATTAATTTCGAATTGTATCTATCCATCGAGAATCGCTTCAATATTTTGTCTGCGAACGGTAAATTGGCATACGACGAAAGGATAGAATCCTTCTCGGAGCGACATTCTTTCCTTGTCGAACTATCGCCATGTTTTGTCGTGCTACTTGCACGCGAAAAAATCGCGAATGAACGGCGGAGTTCGCGTGGGTGAAGCTCGCTCGGGTTCAATTCATGATCCTTCGAGCGCAGTCCTGAAATGCACACATCACCGCGCCATTCGGGCTCGATTCCTCTTCACTCCGTTGTCCTCCCGTCACTCCCGTCACTAGCCGTCACCAACTCGGGCAGATGACTCGGATTGACATGCATAACAACCGAGAATTTCTTTTGGCATAATGCAAGAAGAGGTAGCCACCGTAGAATTGGTGGACGCAACGGATCCCGGCGAGCACAACGGCGACACCGTCGCAGATCCGGAAGTAGGACTTGCTTCACGAACGATCCCTCTGGACGATTCCACGTCTCAGGCCAATGTTAGTATACGTCAGTAAGCGTAGTGGAGGGAGACATGTCGAGAGAGTAGAGCGAGATGCAAATAAAAAACAAGAAAAAAGCAAAACCACGGGAGGGAAAAGTATAAACGGGAACAGATTCGCGCGAGAAACTCACGCGAACCGTAGAAAACGAGTTTCCCCGCAAAAGACGGACCCGAGCCGGGTCCTGATAACCCCGTCGCTTCCTGTAACTCGCCTAACATCATGGCTTTGCCCGCATAAGGTATGCGACCTGAGAGCGTGTAAGAGCGTAGCGATCAAGTTACACCGAGGTGAATCTAGCTTCTCTAACGTCTTTCGGATGTGTTTCACGTCGCGACGTAACTCGTTAACCCATTAATGCTGGGCCAGAAATTTCGCGTTGATTTCAATGTTACGAATTTTTATGAAAATGCTCGAAAATTTTAATCCAAAGTACATTACTAGGGATTTTCGAGGTCGCTCTTTCCGAATCCGCTGCGAGAATCGTAAATAATTAGTGTTTGTATTGATTTGTAACGGTTCTTTTCCAAAAAATGCGATTTTTTCCCGTCAATTTTTTTTTAAATCATAGATTTCATCTTGATAAAAATGTTGAATATTACTGAAAAGTACTCCAATCCTCGAGACTTGCAATTTCAAAAATACATATCTGGACGTAAAATTTTCCGTACTTTCCAAATCTGTAATAAAAAATATAAGTTTTGCACCAAAAGATCAACGTTGAGCTCCGTTAGGCCCAAAAAGTGCATCGGACCCAAATTTGGGGCCTACCACGTGAAAGAACTCGATCCATAGAGCAATTTTTATTTTGGATATTTTTTCATAAAAATGTACTCATAACGAGTTATTCGACCGAGTTCCCAAGGATCCGGCGACATCTATGGTGATACATGCATATGGTCGCCATATTGAAATTACTAAATTGCAAAAAATTGCAAAACCACAATATTTTAAGTACAAGTCTCGAGGACACAATTGGAGTAATATTCAGTAATATTCAATATTTTTATCAAGGTGAAATCCAAGATTTAAAAAAAATTGACGAGAAAAAATCGCATTTTTTGAAAAGAAAACCGTTACAAATCAATACAAACACTCATTTTTTTTTATTCTCGCAGCAGATTCGGAGAGAGCGACCTCGAGAACCCCTAGTAATGTACTGTGGATTAAAATTTTCGAGCATTATCATAAAAATTCATAACATTGAAATCAACGCGAAATTTCTGTCCCAGCCGGCATTAATGGGTTAAACATGTGTCTGTCGACGACGCAGTTCTCACAGCTTGCCTGTATAGTTACGTGCACAGTATTGTCACAAAGTACTCATTAAGTACTGGTGTCCTCGAAGAGACTTCGAAAGCGAAAGCGAAACGGAACGAAATGAAAGATCGCAAAATTTGCATGTCGCCGGTGTAGACTCGAGAGGAGAATGGAAGTAACGTGTAAATTAACACAATCACATACACGCACACTGAGACACGGTATTGGTATATCTCTCCTCGATGATGTTTCTCTCTTACTATTATTAATCTATTAATACGATCTTCGCATGGTGAAAGTGCTGGCAGTAATGCTCGACTCGGTGATAACGTAACGAGATAAATCTCTTCCGTAACGGTTCCGAGACAGCCGATAATCCATTAAGCTGCACAAGCTTAAATAAGTCTATTAATTAGATTATTTCTGCTAATTGATATTTTATTGCCGATATCTCTCTCTTGGATTTTATTAACGACATGTCTCATCTCATGATAAACGTCTTACGTCGAAATCTTTATTCTCTTATACTCCATTTATATTTACGTTGAAAATCTCCTCGAAATTCACATCTTTCCTTTATTTTATTTAAGCTACACAAGCTTAAATAGTCTATTGATCAGATTCTTTCTGCTAATTGATATTTTATTACCGATATCTTTGTCTTGGATTTTATTAGCGATATATGTCCGAATCTCGAGATAAACATCTTACGTCGAAATCTTTATTCTCTTATACTCCATTTATATTTATGTTGAAAATCCCCTTGAAATTTATATCTTTCCTTGATTTTATTAGCGGTGCGGTTACTTTATTGAAACATTTCCATCGTCCTTGTTTTTTACCTGGAAAACCAGCTGGAAAGACGGAGGATTTTTATTTAAAACAAGAGTCAAGGTACTATTCGTTACGTTATCACTAATGTTAAAAACGTTAACATTAACGTGTTGCGTCGACTCTTCCCGTTTCTAATCCACGGTATGTTTTCGTAGGAGGGATTTTGCGCGGTGATTTCTATGCACGACGGTCTCGTGCTGTACACAACCCCGTCGATATGCACCGCTCTTGGCTACCCTAAGGACGCCTGGATCGGTCGATCCTTCATCGATTATGTGCATCCGAAGGACAAAACCACCTTGGCCGATCAGATCACCAGTGGCATCGCGTCGCCGCAGGAGGAACGGTCTAAAGGTATACCATGATGCTCATGTCCGGCGAATAACAAGAAGATTTGCGAAGGAGTTTTTTGTTTATTTGATTAACCCCCCTGCGCTAGAGTTTTCCCTGACTCGAACGTTACCAAAATGCACGAATTCTTTTAGAAAGGGTTGCAAAGTAAACGCTGTTATTTCTAAGGCTTTTGGGGTCGTAGATTACGAATTTAAAGTCAGATGTTTCAAAATTCAAAATGGCGAATCCAATATGGCGGTCACGTACTCAAAATTCAATGAATTTTGAATTTTCTTGTTACGATTGACCTGAAAGCTATTACTCGGCGGTTTTTGAGATTATTGAAAACGGATCTAAAGTCATATTTTAAGACAACGGATCCAATATGGCGGCCATATATACGTTTCCCCGTGAAAATTCGGAGATTCTCGTCTGGTAAACTTGAGAACTATTACTCGAGAGTTTGAGGAATTACTACGAATTTGATTACAACTCTGAACTCAGCGATTGAAAATAAAAAAGAACAAAAAAACAAAAAACAAAAGGAATATAAAATCGGACTTGTAGCCTCCACGTGGCGCATCCTGGGTATATTTCATTAAACGAAAAGTATAGCAAAGCCTAGTTCTAGTATGAGTGTCGAACGCAATTGAATCTGCCATTTTGAATTTCGGAATACTGACCTCAAATTTGTAATCAGTAACCTCTGAAACTTCCCTACAGTAACAGTTTCCAGGCAAATCAAAATGAAATAGTCGAAATCTGACTGGGAAATCGTATACTTGACTGCTATTTTGAATTTTGGGATTCTAACTTCAGATTTGTAATCAGCGACCCCAAAAACCCCCAAGTAAGAGTTTCCAGACCGATTTGAGCACTTTTAGGGCACTTTTGTAAGGACGAAAAATTGGAAAATTATTACATGGATTTTCTCTTTTTTTCAACTTTCAATCCAATTTTTTATAATAATATGTGCAAAATTCGATACCGCAACTCGATATATCTTAAAATACTAGTCTCAAACTTTAATTTGCGAGGTCACAGGCCTCTCTAAGTGATTTCGTTCAGGAGTTTCAAAAGAAAATGTTTGGACGATGAGTATACCCGTCATCGCGCACACGGGAACAACTCCGTTTGGACGAGTATACTCGGGATAATGCCTAGGGGGGTCTTTGTGGCACTTTGCACATTTGTGTGCAATTACACAAAGTTTTTGGCGAACAATAATCTCGCCTCGTTTAACTGGCAGCTTTCGAAATTAATTTTTCAAAATAGCATCGTTCCTTCATTCCTGATCGGTCTTGTCTTTCTCGCCCTTCCTTTCCAGGCATCAACGGCAGACGGGCGAGCCTATTTTGCGGCCTGCGGAGGTTCACCAGGTGCAACATGCCGAACGGACACCGCGTCAATGCCAGGTCGAACCTGTACCTGCCGTTCCACCTGACCCTGTCCTTCCGGGACTTTCGGGACCGGACGGCCGATCAACAGCCTAGCAACAAGGCTATGTTCCTCGTGGTTACCGCTCAACCCGTCCATTCCGCATACAAAGGTAGCATGGTCCAAGACCTTCGACGAGGTCCGACCGGCGAGAGGACTCGATGGTGGTCACGTACGAACGGTCGGCTGATGATTATCGCAAGACTCGCCGCCGACTTGAACGAAATGGATAATTTACAGTCACAGTCACAGTCGAGTTACTTTCAACGCGAATTACTTCTAACTTCTAACTCCTCCAGCTTTCTCCACCGGGCTCATCTAATATCCTTCTTGCGCTGAGTTGTAAATATAATATAATAACACTCGTTTGGGATTCAATTTAAGTATTCGCTTAATTTACGAGAAATAGCGTATGACAGTAAGACGAAACATCGAAGTAACTCGAGTTCACGATATTTGTACCTTGGTACTTAAACGGCGTACACCGGATGTATGTGAACTAACGACGAAAACTGCAAGAGAAGAGAGAAAAAGAGAGAGAGAGAGAGAGAGAGGGGAAAGGACAGATCATCATTTTGACCTGTAATTTTACATCAGGACATCTCTATAATTTTTGCAATATGTTCTTCTCTATGACTGAGCCGCGTGTCTTTCACATACATCCCGTATAATCCGACACGTTCTCGAATATTACCTCTCTGTCTGTCACGCATAAGGATCGAGCCTTGTCGTTAGTCCGACCTCGTCGACGATACTCAGTGAGTCGGTGGTTTCCATGGAAACGTCTAAAGCGAAGGTAACTCACTTCCAATTTTCAAAGTTCTCACTCGGCGACTCGTATAATGATATGTTGATATGGTATGCCGTATTATTTTTGCCGTATTGTCACTGTGCCGTTTCCTTGTCGTTCGACCGGTTTCCCCGTTTTTCGTTCAGTTTGGAGACCACTGTTACGATCGCTCGCTGTATTCACAAGCAACGTGTGACGTCACAAACCGCAACTCGTCATCCTCCATGTCCACGGCAAGCTGTTCGCTTTGGGCTGTTGTCGGTTGCATGGAAATCATGAATTTCCTGCTGCGGGAGCTTCGCTATATCCGTTATATCCGCGTGTCTCACTTGAATCGCTCGGTTCTGCGAATTCGCATCGATGGGCTTTGTGTCGTCAAAAGGGCTTGATAGCTTCTTACTCTTGTCGGTGGTCCTCGGAATTTCGATCTCTCCGTCCGGAATACCGTCCAGGAGGACGAAATTCCGGAGTACGCTCGCAACTTGCGGTAAGATTCGCGCGGAGCTGTATAATGGAGTGAACGCGCTGCTATATTAGAGCCAACACCGACCGAATTTGACGATTGAAATTCAAATCAAGTCGAATAATCGCCTCGATTAAACGACATGGGAGTTAGCTTCTCTCCGCGCGAATTTCCCCGCGTCTCATCTCAGCCTCGGTTCGTCGGTGCTTGACCACGCCTAAACCCGATCGCAAATATTAGGTCGTTAAGTATGATGAAATGTCCGATTTTTAATCAAAAGTTTAGTTTATTATATCTCAAACTAGAAATAGTACAATTAATCCAAGTATGCGCCTAAACTATCGGCACAGCCATGGATGGATTCTGCCATCTTAACGATAGCTTAATTATGCCAGCAGCGAAGAAGCCTGAAGAGCAGGTGACCATGAAATTGCGGAAGACGTTTTTCAGAGCTTGTTGAGAATTGAATATTTTTCCTTGCAAGAAATGGTCCAGTGCCTGGAAGAAGTGATAGTCAGTTGGTACAAGGTCTGGTGGGTGACAGAGAGTTTCCAAGTTCAGCTCTTGTAGTTTGAGCAACGTTGTTTGCGTGACATGTGGTCGAGCGTTGTCTTGCAAGAGGATTACCTGGTGTCTATTGATCAATCTCGGCTGCTTGATCGCAAGCATTTTCATTATTTCGCCTAGTTGGTTACAGTAGACATCCGCTGTAATCGATTGACCAGGTTTCATGAAGCTGTAGTGGATAATATCAGCGCTGAACCACCAAACAAACACTATTAGCTTTCTTCTGTGAATATTCGCTTTCGGACTATGTTTCGGCACTTCATCCATATCCAATCATTGTGCCGAACAATTGTCGAGAAAAGAATCCGCTGTTTATCACAACAACACGATGTAACAATACGATGTAAAAATGCTTCGCTTTTACGTCGTGATAGTGAAGAGAGGCAAGCTTCGAGACGACTTCTCTTCTGAGGCTCGTTTAATTCATGCGAAACCCATTTATCCAGCTTTTTTATCTTGCCGATTTGTTTCAAGCGATCCAATATGGAATAGTAACCTTAAACCTTGCTGCTAATTCACGCGTACTTTGAAATGTATCCGCTTCCACTACAGCTTTCAGCATTATCCACCTTGGTCTCGGGTCACCAACGTGGCTCATTTTCAAGGTTAAAATCACCAGAACGAAACTTTTCAAACCATCGACGTATTGTACGTTCATTAGCCACATCTTCACCAAACACTTCGTTAATATTTCGAGTTGTTTGTGCTGCATTAGTTTCACGACGGAACTCATATTCGAAAATAACGTGAATTTTTAACTTATCCATGGTTGCACAAAAATTGCTGTAACAAAGACAATTCGAAAGATAATCACAAACCAAAACATGCATTTGAAAGAGTGATGATGTACCTTCGCAACAAAAAAAGACCAAAAACTATAAAGGTGAAGTATCAGAGATATCGATTGGCGAACTTAAGAAGTCTATACTTAAGGAAATCGGACATTTCATATTTAATGACCTGACCTAATATAACAAAATCTTACGACCGTGGTAGTGGCCTGCGAAGAGAGAGAATGACCCCGACCTTGTCGTTATCCGCAGCGCCAGAAGAAACAATAATATCTTCGGTATTCACGACCCGCCACACCGCGACGTGCCACCTATCCCATGTCGATCCCGACGTAGTCCAATACTTCGGCTATCCACCACAGGATATGGTTGGCCGTTCGCTGTTTGACTTCTACCATCCCGAGGATCTGCCATTCATCAAAGACATCTATGAGACTGTGAGCATGAGCCCAACAACAAATCAAATGAAAAAAAAAAGCAAAAAGAGGGAGATAAAAATGATTTAGGTTCCGGTTGCGCATGCACGCCCGAAAAGATACGCGATACGGTGATGATAAATGTTGATAGAGAGCGAATATGAGCGAATGAATTTATTACACTCGTCTTCTCTTTTGTATCGCGAGAAAAGCTGAGTAGGACGATTTACTCACGCGTTCCTTACGAAATGTCGTTGAACAGGTGATCAGACTCGAAGGCTGCTCCTTCAGGTCGAAGCCATACAGGTTCGCCGTGCAGAACGGAGGCTGTGTCGTCCTCGATACCGAGTGGTCGTCCTTTATCAATCCCTGGACGAAAAAACTACAGTTTGTCGTAGGTCAGCACCGTGTGCTCAAGGGACCGCTGGACCCGGACATCTTCCGCGTGCCGCGCGAGACCGAATGCGGCTATTTGGCCAGCATCAGCGAGGAGGTGCTGAAGGAGGCGAAGATCATTCAGGGCGAGATACGGGCGCTGCTTGACGAGGTACGACGAAAGCTACAGTGGCCGTGATACTTTGCACAATAATTGCGGTCCTCGCGATCCTCGTGCTCAACTCAATGATCCTTACGCTCCAATGAAAAAAAGAACCATCTATTGGATCGTTCGGAAAGTAATTTCGGTATTTTCAAATATTAGGTGTACAAATGAATAATCCAACTTTTTCAGCTACATTCAAGGTTCATTTTAAAAGGAAGTAAATTAAATTGTTCAATCAAAGTATTCGCCGTTGCTTTCTATAACTTTAAGCCATCTTTCAGGCAGCTGATGAATTCCATCTCGGAAAAATATTACGTCTTTGGACACGATAAAGTCATCAAGCCATTTTCGGATCTCATCCACTGATTGGAAGTGCATATCGAACAAGGCGTGTTGCATCGACCGGAACAAGTGATAATCGGATGGAGCAATGTCTGGTGAATACGCCGGCCGTGCTGCAAGACGTCCCAGCCAAGACTCATTATGGTGTCTTTTGTATTGGAAGCAATGTGTGGCCTGGCGTTGTCATGCAACAATTTCACTGGACGTTCTTCCAGTTTGCCAGTATACGGGCGTTTTCGTTCCAATTCTTGACTCAAGCAGATTAATTGACGTTGGTAGCAGTCCGCAGTAACTGTTTCACCCGGTTCCAACAACTCATAATAAAGCACGCCCTTGGTATCCCACCAAATGCAGAGAAGAACCTTCTTTCCGAAGCAATTTTGATGATTCGCCGGGATTTACCCATGCTTTCTGCGTTTCGGATTGTCATAGAGTATCCATTTCTCATCGCCCGTAACGATTTTCCACAAGAAAGCTGCTTTCAACGCTGCTTATTGAGAAGAGAAAGACACGCTGCCACTCGTTGATTTTTGTTGCTTTCAGTGAGTTCATGCGGTTAGGCACCCATTTTCCTTCTTTCTGGATCTTTCCCATCTCATGTAGGCGTTTGGAAATCATTTGCTGTGTTACTCCCAACTGTTCTGCAAGCTCTTTTTGTGTTTGTGCCGAATTCTCAGCGAGCAGTTGTTCCAAATCATCATTATCGCACTTCGGAGGGCCTCCAGGGCGTTGTTTGTCGATTAGACTGAAATTACCGCTTTTAAACCGCTTAAACCAAAATGCGTACACATCGTACGATACAACACCTTCGCCGAGAAAGGAACAAATCGATTCGCACGCTCTTGCAGCATTTTTTCCTTGTTGGAATTCGTAAAGAATGCAGTGTCGGATATGCACCTTATCTGTTGCCATTTTCGACTGTACTGAACTGAATACTTTTGAAGGTTATGTTGGGCCTTTCGCCAAACTATATTCTTTTTAATAGCTTCTTTTTAATAGCTATATGTCAACATTGCATAATCACAAAAGAGCGGGAAAATCTATTCAATTTAAAATTGATTTCATAACTGCTTAAAATATTTTGGATTATTCATCTGTACACCTAATAGATGGTGTTAGTTGCCTTTTTAAGTAGTTAATCTCATTCTAAACCAGAAGATCATTTTACATTTTTACAACGCACTTTTTCAAGCTTCATTTGAAAGAAAGTTGTTTTGGAATCTGTCAGGTTGTTCTTATTTGGCGTCGCATCAAAAATGGAAAACCAATGTGAGCATTTTCGTCACATTTTGCTTTTTTATTACCTATTTATTATGTAAAGGCAAACGCCAGTGTCAGAATTGGTTTTCGAAATTTCGTTCTGGGAATTTCGACCTCAAAAATGCACCATGTCCTGAAAGGCCAGTTGAGGCTGATGAAGACCAAATAAAGGCATTGATGGACGCAAATCGTCATTTAACAACACGAGAAATTGCTGAGAGATTGAGTTTATCGAATTCGACCGCTGCATGAGCATTTAAAACAACTTGATTTCGTTTCAAAGCTCGATATTTTTTGGTTCCACACGTTCTCAAAGAAAGAGATTTGATTCGTCGCATTACCATCTACGATTTGCTGTTAAAACGTGAGGAAAACGATCCATTTCTGAAGCGGCTCATAACTGGAGATGAAAATGGATCGTGTACAACAATATTAAACGCAAAAGATCATGGTGCAGACATGGTGATGAACCAACTCAAAGCACATCGAAAGCTGATATCCATCAAAAGAAATTGATGCTCTCTGTTTGGTGGGATTGGAAAGGAAGTTTCTTTTGAGCTGCTATTAAAACAACTAAACGATTGACTCGAATGTGTATTGTCATGAATCGGACAAATTGAATGATTCCGTCAAGCAGAAGAGACCAGAATTGGCGAACAGAAAAGGTGTTGTGTTTCATCATGACAACGCCAGACTTCACACAAGTTTAATGACTCGCCAGAAGCTGTTAGCGCTTGGATGGGATTTGCCACCGCATCCATTATATTCACCTGATCTGGCACCATCCGATTATCACTTGTTTTGGTCACTGCAAAATTCCTTGGATGGTAAAAATTTCGATTCAAATCAAGGTGTCAAAAACCACTTAATTTAGTTTTTTGCCAATAAGGACCGGAAGTTCTACGAGCGTGGAATTATGTTATTTCCTCAAAGATGGCAAAAGGTATTAGAAAATGGTCAATACTTAACAAAATAAAACTTTTCTTTCTATTAAAAATATCGTCTTTCATTTTCATGCAAAAAAACCGAAATTACTTTCCGAACAACCCAATATAATTGCATATAAAATTAGAAAACCAGCTGGTTCTCGTGCTATCGCGGTTCTTTAACAACGTACCTAGACTATATATTTTAAAATACGAGGCATATGCAGAAATGGTTTATATGAAAGTTGTAGTGTATTTCATACTCTTTACAACTGTGTATTCAAATACGTACCACAGTTCTTTGCTGGCGTGGAGACTCGATATGAGTGAAAAAGGGATTGTGCTTTTGAAAAAATAAAACAAAAAATTCAGAGAGGGAAACTTTTCCAACTCTCTCTCTCTCTCCCCCTCTCTCCCTCCCTCCCTCCCCATCCCCCCTCTCTCTCTCTCTCTCTCTCTCTCTTAGCGCAAGTCGAGTAAGCCAGCTCATCCCCCAATTTGTTCTCTGTTTTTTCTATCGTACGTGTGCGCAGAGCATCCAAAGAACGTCAGATATAACCGAGCTCGACGTGTCAAAGCGATGTAAGGACCTAGCGTCCTTCATGGAAAGTCTGCTGCAGGAGACAAAGGCGCCTGGTGTCGGCAAAGACGGACTCGCAGCGGACGACAAGAGCTTTTCGGTGACTATTAGCTACGTTTTAGTATCACCGACACTGTTTCGCTAAATTACTTACGCTATGAGATACGCTCCGCTCTCTGGTACGCTACAAAGGGGAAACATATGATTTCAATCCAGTACTTGATGTACTAGTTAGTCGTTGTAACAATAAGCCAGGCCCGCCCATGTTTCACTTCGCACACGGTGCGTCGTGGAAATTATATATATATATATATATATACACTCATATATGTACATATGTAACTTTACCATTTAATCCCTCGCCGTCGATGCACGACATACTTTTCCGGTAATTCGTTTTTGAGCCCTCGTCGAGGACAAACTTCCGAGTGCGCACCTTCACATTCTTTCTCAAATTCCTCACGTCACTTATATTCTTCCTACGATGATCTGTCAATGATCCCGCGTCATCGGAGGAACCCTGGACGTCTTCAGGAGATTTTCACATGTGTTTTTTTCCCACTCGAGTTCGCACTCGACAGCAAAAACGACATGCTGGAAATATGTCATGGCAATACGAACGACTGACAAGAATCACATAGGGAACTCGGAAATTCAAAAAATTATGAAACTTTGTGTGGAAGTAAAGTAGTTCATCAGTAACGCAAAACTATTTTTTGTTTTCGTACGGAATTCCAGGCTGAGGGGTGAAAACACCCTTCGAAAAAAAAACCATTTTCATTCTTAGACTATATATTTTAAAATACGAGGCATATGCAGAAATGGTTTATATGAAAGTTGTAGTGTATTTCATACTCTTTACAACTGTATATTCAAATTTTGCAAAATTGGAGGAGGGCGGAGGAGGGTTCCAAAAATTTTTCAATTTCGCAAAATCTGAATACACAGTTGCAATGAGTATGAAATACACTACAACTTTCATATAAACCATTTTTGCCTCTGCTATTTTAAAAGATATACGCTAAAAATGAAAACGAAAAAATTTGTCCGAAAAAATTTTTTTTTTCAGAAAGTGGTTTCATCCCCTCAGACTGGAATTCCGCAAAAAATAGTTTTGCATTGCGGATGAACTACTTTGCTTCTACAAAAAATTTCATAATTTTTTGAATTTCCAAGTTCCCTATGTTTCTTTGTAAGAAAAAGGAAAGTTTTTTTTCTTTGTCGACTTGTGTACGACGCGAACGCATGATGTAAGTAGAATTAACGCAAGCTGGTAGGTTTAACCAACCAACGAGGCTCTACCAATCTCTCGCTGCTTCCGAACAAGAGTGCAGGTGCAAAATTTTCAGAAAAGTTTGGTGGAGCCAAGAGGGCGGTTAAGGTGAGTAGATGAAAACGCTTGCCGACGGGGAGCGACCGGAGAGAGCGAAACCATCTCGGGAGTAGCACTCTTTAAGTCTTGACTAATTAAGAACACGATTAGAGTAGCAACTGCGGGCAGCGGTTAGCGTAAATTTTTTTAATCAATTAAGCCTCTACCACGCTCTTTCGCACGTAGACACAGACGGAGGACGGTGAGAAAGTCGGGTAGGGCCGGTGAAGGATAGCGTCAATTTCGAAAGCTTGTAGGCACTGGTCACCCGGTAAGTCCACCTACCTTTCTTTTCTTTCTTTGTCTCACTCAATATGTCGCTGCTTGGTGAAGCGAGGTCGACAGATCGATTTTGATAAAACATAGCGAGTCTGGAATTCGTGCACACAGCGTGTCGCTGCTCGTCTTCGAAGTTGTCTTTTGCGAATAACGGAGCTTCCTCGTTGTTGATGTGATCTTCAGCTTCATCCTTAGCTTCAGCCTGTAGCTTGCGGAATGGATTTTCCATGAGGCGATCTTTAGCGTCGTCGAAGTCTTTATTCCTCTCCCTTCAATTTCTCGGTGATGCAATAATTTCTTCCTCGTGCGACTATAACGTTCATCTCGACAGGCTATTACGAGATTACGCTCGTGAGTTCTTTTATTTATAAAGTTTCCAAGCTAATGAAAGTGCATGCACGAGAGGGATTGAATGCGCGGACGATTCGCGATGAGCAAAATCGTTTCTTGCTGTCCCACGACAATTGTCGTTCGACAAACTCGAGTATACTCCATTGTTTATGGGATTTAATCGCTCCTCTCTGATTCAAGATTGCACTCGCAGATTTTAATTTGAACGTCCGGTTTATTTCTTCTCTTGTCAATTTCGCTCGATTTCTTCATATCTTTTTGTTACCAAGAGTGTAATTTAGTTTTGAAAGTTTTGCAAGAGATGGCAATAATGTCAATTTTATCGAAGATATTCCAATCACAGTTATTATTTCTTAATGCTCTAATTATTAATCACTTATTCCGAGGTTGATGTAACATGCTTTAGAGCAGGGTTTCCCAACTTTTTTTGTATTTCGCACCCCTAAAAATTTATTAATAAACCTTCGTACTCTCTACAAAAAAAAGTTATTCATATGTTTTATGATAAAAATTAATTGTTAGGGTTTTAAGGTAAGAAATTAATTTACAATAATTTATTATTATATAACATTGTTTTATAAAAATTAACTATCATTTTAATATTATAAAATTATTATCCATGGTAGTAAGCTTCGCATAGTGATACGTAATGAATATATACGTACAGATACGTAAAAAATATATAATTTTAATAACATTTTTTTTAATTTGATGATAAAAATGCCGGATTATTTCAGAATTCATCTTAATAATTATTAATTACAATTACTTTTCCTCGCACCCCCAAGAATATTTTCTCGCACCCTCGGTTGGGAACCCCTGCTCTAGAGGATACATATTTCCTTAATTTTGAACAAGTGTGAAAATTTGTTGAAAACTGAATCAACTCCAAAGAAGAATCTTTCCATCGCCGCGGAATCCATCTCTTGCCAGGAATATGTGAAAAAGTTGTAGAAAACGAAGGAAGATATTTTGATTAAGGTATTCGTTCATTATCTTGTTTAAGTAAATCGCACTAAATCATTAAATCACAAAACTAAATCACACTCCTAATAGTATCACACATCGAGACGACAATCGGTGCGATATTCCCAAAGACTTGTACGAATAACATCGTTGATGATCGATGACGCTTTGTAATGGCAGCTTGGCGCTAACGAAGCAGAAGACTCAATTTTCAAGTCTAGCTAGTCTTCGAGCGACGGTTATTGGCAACTTCGATCATAGTTGAAAGTTCGATGTTGCACGAAGAGAGAAAGAAACGACTGATTGACGTGTAAAACCCCGCCGTATCTATACGGCACACAAGTTCTCACCGCGCTTCGAATCCGTCAGCCGTGTCCGACATTAGAAAAGAAAGCAGCAAAGGGCGCGACACGGCGAAGACGCGCTGTACTCGCACCTGTGATCGGGACCTTGCTGAACTGCTCGCTGTAAATAAACGCTAAACTACACGCCTCACAAACACGGCGGAGCGCGCTTTGCCGCTGAAGCTTGCACCGCGATCGTGTGCTCGTGCAACGCACACTGGTGTGCGAGGTAGGTGGCGAAGGGAAAAGCCTTCCTCGGGGAGGGGGAGAGCTCCTCTTCTTCTTCTTCTTCTTCTTCTTCTCGCTTTTCTCAAACTCGGGTGAATTAACGAGCCCTTATAACCGAGACCGAGATTCCTGGCAGCCGGGGCAGCCGCCGGACGCACTCACCTGCCGCTTACGCAGAACAAGCGCTGACCACGCTAAAAACACACTACTGACCACTGATTACCGGCGTAATATGAATTGCGAAACGTCAGTGACAACTCATTCTAAGTCGCTACAATATACTTGTGAAGGGATCACGCAATCCCTTGTTGCAGGAGCACGACAGCGTGATGCTTGGTGAGATCTCGCCCCATCACGAGTACTACGACAGCAAGTCCTCCACGGAGACGCCGCCGAGCTACAACCAGCTCAACTACAACGAGAACATTGAGCGGTTCTTCAAGAGCAAACCGCCGGTCGCCACTATGTACGGTAGCGACGAGGAGAACGTCAATTCCAGCAACGACGAGGGCGGTGAGTCGCGAGATCCTTTTCGCCCTGTGGTCCTCCTCATCGAGCACGACCCGGTTCCACGAAGTCTCGCGAGTCCTGAGCAAAAAATTTTTAGGGCCATCCTCATGAAGCATAAGGCCCCGATAAGGCTGAGAGTAGGATACCCTAAAAAGGGATGCCTCATTATTACCACATCAGGCTCCGAGATGAGATCTTTTAGAGATGCCTTAGATTTTACGAAATAATGCTTTAACATGGAAAACTGATGTGGACCTTAGAGGGATCTTTTAAGAGGATGCTTTAGATATACAAAATCAAATTTTATTATAAAAAATTAATAAGATCTGAAGCGTGTGATAAAATTGTCATAGTTTAGTGTTGTTTTAGTAAGTACGCTCTATCTGGTTCTTTTAAAGATTTTTTAATCATATCGCCATTAAAAACAAATTTTATTAGTTTTATTAATTGCCATATTGATTAGTCTCTTCCAAGGATTTTTCTAGTATTGCTTTCCATTTAAAAATGCAGCAGACTTTAATAAAAACAGTAGCAGGATTTTTATGTGTAAAGAATGCTGTATTCTATTGTAAAGTATGCTATATTTTTGAAATAAAAAATTCTTGTACACTAACAAGGTTGTACAGAAATAAAGAAATTACAGTCTACATTTCTTGGAATGAAAAGAACGAATATTTTTACTCAAGCAATAATAAAAATATCCTTATATGGTGGTCTTATTAATATTGCCTCATAAAGCCCTCATAATAATGCTTTATAAGGACCTGTTAAACAATGTTATACATCTTGTAGGGCCCGAGTAATAGGGGAATTAATAGGGGAAAATAATCAGGCCCTTGCCGGAGCTCTATTAATTGTTCTACTCGGAGTCTGGAGTTGGCGAGACTTCGTCGAAGCGCTCAGCCCAGGTGGACATTTCTTCAGGTTCGTTCGCACGGAGGTTATATGACCCGAACTCATGATGCTTTCAGCTCGAAAATGCATGTCGCCGATAAACGGCAGCGGCGCGAGCGGCAGCGGCAGCGCGGAGAATCTCAGCAGCGGTTCCAACAACCAGACGAGCTCGGCGAGCCGCGGCGACGCCTCCAACACCGCCAGCAACAGCAACACCACTGCGACGGAGAGTTTCAAACCGCCCACGCTGACGGAGTCGTTGCTGAACCGGCACAACGAGGACATGGAGAAACTGATGATGCAGAAGCACCGTGAGCTGCGCTCCAGCATCAAGAACAGCGACAAGCTCAAGGACTCGCGCATCAAGACGGAGAAAGTCAATGGGGCCGACCAAAGCGCCCATTACGTCAGTCAGGGTCACGGCATCAAAAGGAGCAGCAGTCACAGCTGGGAGGGTGACAGCTTCAAGGTTCGAGCTCGCTAATCTTGTCGGTTTCCGGCGCGGTGCCGGGTCCTCAAATTAAATATCTCGCAGCGATTAATCAGCAATAGCGTATTAATTGGCAATGTTATCTCTCTTCTTCTTTCTGGTCTTAATATGCCAGTGTTAGAAAGAGGAATGAAGGAAGCTTTCAAAATCGATGACACAAATGAAAGAGACACGAGACTGAATCTCGTAATACATGCGTGCAGGTGTCGAAGCATGATAAGATCTCAAGGACGAGCACGGCGGGTCCGGCGAACCTCACCACGACTGTCACCAGCATGAGCCTCGATCAATCGACCGCAGTGCAGACTGGGGCGAATATCAACCTGTGGCCACCGTTGTCAGTCACAGTGCCCTCCTCTGTGCCCACTCAACCCTGTGTTCCACCGCACAAGTGAGCCGACAATTACGCAAATCACGTGGAGAATATTAGTAATATCGAGGTCACGCAAAACCGCGTGTGAAATAATAAAAAGAACGGTTGGGAAAGTTACTTCGTAAAAGTATCTTACTTATGAGAGTTACAGTTTTTTTCACTGAAAAAGTAACTACTTACAGTTACAAGTTACTGAACTTCAAAAATAACATGTTACAGTTATAGTTATCTAGAAAGTAACAAGTCGTTACTTTTCGGTTACTCTTTTACAATAATTGTGCTATTATTTTAAATTTTCTAACTGTGTAAATTTCTTCAATTTTATATAAAAACAGTTTGTTGATTATTATATTCCTCATATTGTATTTAATTTTTACTAATTAGATTCATTAATTTAAATAAGCAATTCATATTTATTCTTTAAGACTATTAATAATAGTTATAAGAAAGTGAATGAGTTTGATGAGGATAATAAATACTAAAAATACTGAAAGTAATCTTAACATCAAAAATTAGATTTTTTCACTAAAAAATATATTGATATTTTATAAATAAAGACATACACTCATATGTTTTCTTAAATTTGCAGTTGAAGTTCTATTTGCATGAATAATTTTTTTGCCAACGCATATTTTGCAGAAAAATGCTCAGTTGTTCTCATTTCCAAATTCTTTCTGTAACTCGAATATTTCTGCATATGCTGGTCATGGCATTTCATAATCCTTCTCCGAAGATTGAGATATTTTATCCATTGCTTGAATCTTTTATATCATGCTGATCTGCCAGAAACTTAAGTTTGAAATATATAAAGTAACTATTAAATTAGTTGTTATCAAACAAATGTAATAAAATTAAGTTACAGTTACAGATGGAAAAAACGGAACAAAATTAGATTATAGTTACCAAAAAAAAAAAATAACTGTAACTTCGTTACAAGCAACGAGTTACTTTCCAACCCTGAAAGAAGGATACGCGTTTTTGAAAGTTCGCTGTGGAAGCGATCGTCGGCTTAAATGTGCTCGTGTGTTTCAGTGTCAATTCGGAGGCCATACCTAGATTCCCGCTGCTGCCGTCAGTGATACCCGTGTACTATGTGCCAATACCACAAGCCAGCGAGTCGACTGCAACGTCGAGGTCACCACCCCAGGAGAAGCTGGGACCACCCCCGACTACGCAGCAAAATCCTTATAGTAGGCGTTCTATCATAAAATTGATTATTGATAGACCAGAGTTTCCCAACCTTTTCTGTATTTCGTACCCCTAAAAATTTATTAATGAACCTTCGCACCCCTTACAAAAAACAATTATTCGTATGTTTTATGGTACAAATTAGTTGTTAGGGTTTTAAAGTAAGAAGGTAAAAATCAAAAAAGATATTTAATTTTTAATAATATAAAATATATAATTTTATAATGATAAAAAATATATAATTTTAATAACATTTTTTTTAATTTGATGTTAAAAATGCCGGATTATTCCAGAATTCATCTTAATCATTATTAATTACAATAACTTTTCCTCGCACTCCCAAGGATGCTTTTTCGCATCCCCAGGAGCGAGCATCTCTGGTTGGGAACCTCTGCTCTAGACAATTATTCTTGATTCGAGACAACTTTGAATGACTTCGAAAGCTGAATATTAACTTTCAAATATGGTATATTGAAGGAACCAGTTTGAGATCGCATATTATTTCACAATGCGATAATACAGTCATAAAAGAATTACAGTATTTGTTCCAGTGTCCTATGTCGCGACGGCGATGGCCGGAGTGATATATCCGGCGATGATCGGCGCACCGCCGCCGCGTGCGATGATGTACAGGCCCTTTTTGATACCCGAGCAAGCGCCGGCGGCGCGTGAGAACCAGCAGCCGTCCAACGACAAGTGTGTGGATCGCAAACGGCCGGCCAGTCAAGCAACCAGCGTGAAGGCCGAGCCGGGAAGCATAATGGCCATGTCCGAGTCCTCCAAGAAGGTAAAACAGCTGCAATTGGGCGGAACTAGTTAACAAACTGGTATCGAAATTTATAGTCCTGAGAGTTTGGATCTCAAGCAAAAATTCACGCAATCTCAATCACCCCGTCAGGTTCTGTCGCCTGGGGAGCTCTTCTCGTCGTGTGTGAGCAACGATGGCGGTTGCTCAAGCGTGGTGGATTTATTGACACCGGTGATTATGAAGGGACACCGACCGACGGACTACAACGGCGACGAGTCAAGCTCGTCCAGTTTCTACAGCAGTTTCCTCTACAAGAGCAGCGATAGCAGCTGCAATCCGGATCAGAAGACGTGCGAGGTCTCCTCCGAGGTAAAAAGACAAATTCTCCTCGTCTTTTAGACATATTTTAGACCTTTCTGTCGTCTTTGAGGTCGGTGGTGAAATTTAATTAAACTTTTTGTCACGTAGGAGCATACCAAGTGTCATCAAGGAATGCGAAGGAGGGATCCTCCTTGGCTGGAGGGTGTCCAACTGACGCCAGAACTGATCTACGAGTACCAGATGCATCCAAAGACATTGAACGAGGTGCTGAAGGCTGACATGGACGCGATGAAGAACTTCAACCAACCGCTGCTGGTGAACGATCAGCTCGGGCAGCTCTATCTGGACTTGGAAGTGGAAGGTTTCGGTACAGAACTGGTCCTCGAGGAAGGGATCACATCGAGCGGAAGCGACAGCGGCAGCAGCAACGGCAGTTGGACGGAAGTGGCATCGCAGGTAAGAGAGAAAACCAAGAAAACTTATTCAAATTTATTCAAACTTACTTAGGATGTTTAATCTAGTCTATATGTTAAATAATCCTCAGGATAGTCTAGGACAATAAAGTGACATATCGATGAGATCTTGCGAGCAGGCGAGGAGAGGGGCGATAGAGATTTGTTCTGCGACGATGAAATTTCGCTCCTGAAGATCTCGACCTGATGAGATCATTTTCAAATTCGACATCTTGGTTGCTTACAGTGCAAGCAGAGAAGAAGAATGGTGAAGTACGGCAAGCTCGTGATGATCCACGAGGAAAATGCACCGTTGCCGCCCCCGTTGCCATCTCAGATTGTACCGTGCCAGCATTCTTAGGAATTGCGCACGATCCGCCACGGATGACGGATCCAGGGCAACCCCGAAGTCGACGTTTGTATCGTCGCGCTTGCATTTCTCTTGAATGGGTCCAGTGTCATTTTGTTAGCCCTTGGGTTAGATGATATTCTGTACTCGTACTGTTTAGGTATGCACTTTGTTCTCGAAGCGTGCAGAATCACTGAGGAACTTGACTTTCATTTCGGACTGATGACCTTCACTTCTCGCATACTTTTGTTTTCAACGACAGTTTTTGATACAACTTTTTCGTAGTAAGTAGAAATAGGAGATAAAAAAAACTGATTCCTCGTTCCTTAATTCCTTCAATAAGGAATAAAATATGCGCGTTATTTCCTATTAAGTTTCATACTCCTTAATTAAACGCCTGAATGTGTCAAAGTCAAGTTTCCCCTTTAATGTACAAACGGTATTAATTTGCTATCGAATTCCAATCAAGCGACAGTCGGAGTGAGATCTCTGAATTGACCGGACACATCTAATCCAGAAGAAACGCAAACAGAAAGCAACACGTGTATATAAATAACGAATGAAATGCACTGGATGAGAGACTTGTGTGAGTCTACCAAGACCAATAATGCAGTGCTTCCGTTCCTTACATCTTTCTTTTCGAGAGAATCAGTCTCTTCTTATCGAGAAGATTACGGTTGATCGTGAAGATGCGACAATCGCGTCGTCGTTGTCGTCGTCTATACAAAGAAGAAAAAATTTGAAGTTCGAAAGCTCGAAGAAGATTTTGACGTTGCCTTAGCCAAGCAACAAGCTTGGAATACGTTTTGCCAAAATTTTCGACGCGAGATAAAATACAAAAGTGAATAAATTTTTGAAAAGTGAAATTCTTAAAAGTATTTGCGCTTATATTATATTTATTCACAGAACATCTCATCATGTCTGTCAATGATGGATTCTAAAGGTCAACTGCTCTGGCATGCCCGGTAAAATTTACGATTGAAAAAATACACGGAGACTTTGGGGCATTCTGTGAAATAAATGATAATTACGCAATAATCTAAACGCAAGCAGAAAATGCGATGACTGATTTCCTTCGAGAGATGCGTCGAAGGTAAATCCATAGTACAAAAGGAGCGAAACTCGACGTACTGTTTTCGATACCGTCCGTAGAATTCGTTTGCATCACATAACTGCGTAGCTACGTGCGAATTGATCGGGAGGTCATGAGATAAGATAGGAAGAGAGTACTTTTGATGATTTTCTTACACTCTTTTTCTCCCCCCCCCCCCCCCGCCGCGATTTTGTGAGTGTTATATTGCGTGTAAAAAAATAATAATCTTGCTATTTTAAATTGTGCTATCGATACGCGCGTTCTTATCGGGCTATACTCTACAGAAGCCTTGACACTCGTTTCAATCAGCGATTGGCGCAATTTACGAGTAATTGGCTAAAACTGATGATGCGAAACTAAATTATACGAAAAAATGTGCATTTCATTCGAGATACGTACAATTATATAACATCGCTTGTAGTTTCTAGGGGTCAAAATTAGGGAGATAAGATCAGCCTATTAGCTACATGGCACGACTCGTGATGTGTCATGACACGCCACTTTGTATATTCAGCGTTTTTTATATCCCTAGAAGATATTTTGGACCAAATATATATAGAACAATACAGATAGGATTATGATAAATATATTTAGATTTCCTATGTAATAGACATGTGCGAACTATTCTAATTCGAATCGAATCGAATCGAATCTAATGTAATTCGATTCGATTCGAATCTGAATCCTTATGATACGAATTTTTAATACGAATCAAATACATTAGCGTTTGCGCGTATCAGCTATAAAACGGGCCATCTGGACCATCTGTATGTTTGAACCTTTAACTTGTAATTAATTTAACTTATAATTAATAACTTAATTATAAATTACTTTAGATATTTAAATATATATTTTACTTTAAGATGATATTACAATATCAATACCTATTCCCTTTCATATTAAAATCTTCCATCATTATTTGCATGTTTAATAGCCATGTTAAATTTTTTAATGGTCAGATTCGATTTCATTCGAATTCGGATTTAAAAAATGAGATTCGATTCGATTCGATTCGATTCGACATAAAAATTCTTGATTCGCACATCTCTATTATGTAATATCATGTGTCTCGCAAGGATAATTCATATTTTTAGATTTGTACGATAGAAAGCAGTGAGAAAGAGGGAGAGAGAGAATTAGAGAAAGAGAGATAGTATATTTTCTTCTCAATACTCGTACCTGATAACGCTCCATTTATTGAAATTTATTTTTATCATACTCCTTCCAAGAATCATTTTCTTGAATATGTTTTTCGAAAATTCACAAGGATATCGAGTGAATCTGTGGAAAAAAATGGAAAAATACATTATCTCACGCTGATTTAATTTATCATCGTCTCTTAGGCTTGATAAGATTTTAATTTAGGACACAAACAATTTATTGACATTTGCGCGCTGTGCTTTATCTGCATTTATCTCTACAAATATCTCAAGGATCTCAATAAACGGAGCTTAATCACGGAACAAACCTGAAATTGCACGACGCGATTATATTGTATAATACAAAATACATTTTACCCCGTACATCACGTGTTTAGAAAATAATGGTCTGCGCGAGCGAACGCGGGCGACTCCGGTCCGCGTTAATCACGTAATTAAAAACCCGATCGCTTACGTAATCGCGACCGGAGAGTCCGTGTGTCGCTTAGTGTACGTACGTTTATTTCAGGAATTCATGGACCACAGTGAATTAACGCGGATATCCTAAAGATTCGAAGATACTGCGTGTACATGTACGAAAAAGATGGAGAGATATTTTGTATACCGCATTACATTTGCCCGTGTCGCATGCAATGTTCGGCGCGTGTCGTGTCGACGATGTTCGCGTCGTGTGTACAAGTATCGGTAAGAAGCGATATTTTATATATGAACGATTTAGGCAGGAAAGTTGACCTTGGGGGCTCGCGGACATCTCCAAGAACTCGGGATCTAGTCTGGAACTTGTAATTCGTAGCTGTGTCGCTTCCGCGTTAAACACCTAAAAAAAGTAATTTCAGAACGAAATCATTTAAATTTTAGAGGATTTTATTCTTATATATGACCTCAAGAGGATTCTTCTAAAATTAAGAGGAAAATATTATAAATACATTATTCTTAAAGTTAAAGGGATTATATGTTATAATGCAAATCTTATTGATTTTAATATAAATTTCCTTTTATACACAGATTATTTGATCTTTTTTTAAGAGAATTATTATTTATTCTTACCGTATTTTATTCTTATTTATATGTTTAAGAAATTATTATAATATATAGCGAAAAGTAACATATATATAGATGTACTTCTGGCTTCATTTCTACAATAAGTAGGCATGAATGAAAGAAGATCATCGTAATAATATTCGAAATAAATTTCCAACCAGTTTTGTTATGGACTTCATAGCTACAATGAATGATGTTCATCATAACCAATTATATGAAACATAGTTAAAAGAAAGAATACATTATTCAACTTCTTGCAATAGATTATAAACTGTATTCGACCAAATATGGGTAAATTATCTTCGTTATATGTTGCAGTAACACACATACCTTTTCTAAAAAGCGTTCCAAATATTCTATAACCCGTGAGCATATGGTTATTTTTTCATTTATATCTGGAAGTAGAGCATAACTGAACTAAAGAAGCCGTCATTCAAACCAACACATATTCCTCTTCATATAAGAGGAAAATTCATCGATACAAGAGGAAATCCTCTTGAAATAAGAGGAAAACAGAATAATATCTAATAAATTTTAGACGAGTGCTTCACTTTAATCGCTTTATCGAAAGAGGAATTCTTTTTCTGTAAAAGGCTTCGCTTAGAATATGAGACCATGGGAGAAATCACTTTACAAATAGAATATTTTTTTGGATGTTAACCTTTCGCGCGGGAACTATTTCCTGTGTCGAATCATGCACAGCGGGCTATTGTACCTCAACGAAAAAGAAGAAGACGAGACTAGGGATTATCGACGCTAGATTTTAGCGACTTCTTTGCTAATTTCATATTTATCACACAGCTTTCACCTGTCAAATTTTCCATAGACAAATATTAAGTTTTAAGAGTCTTTTAAAATCCAGGCTACGGTCTTCTCGCAATCATGCAGCCAAATACGGTCGTCCGTTCTCGCGCCAGCACAAATTTTGTGACTCCCTCGCCGAGAAGAACGACTGTCGCGGCCGCGTTAATTAAATGCACTCGAAAGTATGGATGATTCAAGGTGCTAAACGCAAATCGTAGAGAGACTTTATCCTAGCGATAAGAGGCATTTTTAATCTTTCGGATTCCGATTGTAAAGTGTCTTCGAGAGATATGAGCTCTTTCTCGTGGTGAGGATCAGCAATGGGCAAATTAATTAAGAGGAATTGAGGCACAGTGAGAACAACCAGGATATTTGCTCTTTCCGTTCTGAAGGACTCCATCCCTCAAACACCTTCATTCATCCAAACCTTCTCAAAAGTCGCGCACTCTTCGAGGCCTTTATTCGATCTGCTCGTTTCAACCCCGTTGTCTCTTCTTTCTCTTCGTTTTTGTCGTTCAGTTCGCCGACGAAGCGCGCCGCTTTCGCGATTTTATCATATATAAGTACAAAGACAAAAAACACGAATTGAAAGCATCACTGAGGTGTCGAGGGACTCTTCAATATCTTCGTTAGATTTTTTTAAGGACTTTTGTATAAATCTCCGATTTTTACAAGTTCTCTCCTTTTTTACCGCTTCGTTAATTTGGATGAAACTTCTTTTTTTAAGCATATTATTGTAGCTATATAGCTTTACTCTTTGAACAAAGCGTTCGCTTCGCACATTCGTTTTAAAACGATACACACGTCGTTCGATAAGCGCTCCTTTCAATTTCACACAAGCGCTTTAAGTTACGCTAAGCTATTATTATTATTATTATTATTATCATTAGGTTATCGTTTCCTCGTATTAGCACGCGGGAGATTTCGTTCTCTGGCGTGGTTTTATGATTAAAGATTACCCGTATGCGTGATTGTACGATCATTGTACTCTTGTAAGTTACTGTAATATATCATAATACGGAAATTTTCCGCGGTTTCTCTCTCTCTCCTTTTATTTTACCGTGCTGTGTCGAGTGCGTTAAGCAACGAGCGACATGAAAAGCGTGAGTTTTCAGAAAACTCGAGACTTTGCAGAGTTAGACACGTTCGTCTCGTTAATATTGCGCTACATGTAAGTAACACATTTCTCTCCAACGACGGTATATGGAAAGCGTCTTACCCTTTTTCGGACGTGAGACATTATATCAATATAAAATATTGTGTATTTATCGAAAACGTGTCCTGTAAATATCCCGCCTATCCATTTACATTACAACACCGAAAAAATCATATTCTTGAAATAAGAGATATATATTCTTCTTAGATCTTCTTAACGATATTCTTAACAAATAAGAATATTTTTCTCTTACGTTAAAGGATATAGAATAACTTCTGAAACATTAAGAATATATTCTTAACGTTTTTAAGACTTGTTTTGAATATATTCTTAACCATTTGTTGAGAATATATATTCTTAAGTTTATTCTTAAGTAAAGAATATATTTTTAATTTTTATACGTATGCGCGTACGCGTGTAGAAGAATTGCGATAATCGACGATTTTCACGTTATTTACTCATAACTTATTACCTATCTTATGTCGTGCGCTCTTCAAGTGTTCGCAAAAAGTCTTTTACGCGTTGTCCCTGTTTCTTTTACCTTCATAATCGTTAATTTTTCGAATATCCTCGTATCAACCAGGAGAACTGTCTTGCCAAAAAGCTGGAGAATAGTGTGTGGACGTACTTTAATTTGTCAGGAACCACATATAACAGAACTGAACTGAAGAGTTCGCAAAATATTAATAATATTGTCAGTGACATTAAAATACGTGTTGATATTGCGCTCAATATCAATATCAATACAACAATGAACGACGAAATATTCCAGTGGTTAGAAGAAGAGGATCTAACCGATTTATTGGACCTGTTCAAAAGTAAGATAAGAAATATACATTATCCTTTCTAGGTTAAGATCTCAATAGTCTTTATCTTTTTTCTGTTTGACTGGTTGTGTTTTCTGGTTGAGACCGACATGTTCGTATTTTTCTTATACAGGGTTTGTCAAAAGTGTGGAAACTCTTAAATAATTTTTGTAAAAATGAAAATATAAAAAAACGGTAAAACACGTATTTTGATTTTTCAAAAAAGCTACCCTATGACATGGATACCGATCATTCCCCACCCCCTGGTACGCGGGGATAAAAGGGGGTTAAAAGTTTTAAATTGGATTAAGGGTCGAGTGGGGGCTCATTTGAAAGGTTTTTTCATAACAAACACACCCTTAAAATTTTAAGTCGCTACGATCCCCCCATAAAAAATGGCGGCCGTTCAATTTTCGAAATTTCATGCACTTAGTGTTATCCAGGATCAACTGCGTGGAAGTGGCATGAATCTGATCCCTTGTATGTGTGTGTGTGTTTTTGTGTATGTGTGTGTGTGTGCGTGCGTATATATGTGCGTGCGTGTGGCTAAACAAGTGTGAATGTATTGTATGTATAGTCGTGATAGGTTGCAAAACAGACGATTGAAAACTGTCATCTCTCTTTAATGATTCAAAACCTTTTACTCCGTGTTTTAAAATAAATTTTACTCAGTGTATTAAAGTAAATGCTGAAAGTGGCTGCCATTTATTTCCTGACAATATGTCAATCTTTGATAGAATGCAGAAGTGGCTCTACGATTCGTCTCAAAAGGTATCAAATCTATTTCATCCCTTATTCGCTGTATCAATTCTTGGATGCTTTCAAGTTTTATTTTGTAAACCTTA